AAGAAGAATAAATCGTAATACCGGCATTTGATTACCTGTTGCGTCACACCTGTTGCTGCACGTACGCGTACCACGTGACTTCGTAGTGGCCGTGAAAAGATTTTCTCGATTGTCTTCGTGCTGTATGTATGGTACCTTGATCTATATAGGTCCGTCTATATAGAAAAATATCAATATATTATAAAATATCGATACATTATTGACATATATAAACTATTTTCACAAAAATTATCTATTATATTTGATTGTGAGTAATTATACATTACAAATAAAGCGCCAAAAAAAAAGGTTTAAAACCTTTTAGTAGAGTTGAAAATTGTGTCGTTTTTGATTTGAAAAGAATGTGAATAATATAAAAAAATCAACGTATAAAAATGTGGAACGAAAGATGTGTCAAGAGTTTTTCTAATATATTTTTAAACAGAACAAGGAAGGAAGAGAGTAGAGATGTGGGTCTAAATACAGCATGCACAACTTGTACAACTGAACGTGACGATTCAATTCGTATACGTTTTCAGCCGGAGAAATGAATATTTTCGATTTCCCCTGTTGATAAAACACCTCGTAGTTCGATCGTGCTCACGTCCTCTCAGGAATCTCTCTCGATCTCATTGTTCGTGGGCAGCAGGGCAGAAAGCGGCGCTTCCGGTTTCAGGTTGAGTTGCACGACGGTCAGACGAACGAACGGACAGGCCTGGCTGCATCCTGACTCCCCAGGTAAGCACCTGCGCCATGTTGAGCATGATTTAAACGGAGTGGAAGGGAAAGCTTCGTAACGTCTCATTTCTGCGCGAAATTTCTCGATGGTACCGTGTATATACCTCCGTTCTAATACGGTTCTCTGCTTAAATAAACAATTGTTAAGATATTTTCACTCGATTATACTTTTTTTCAATCGTAAATACTTCGCGATTGCATTCATTCATAATTCATAACGCGAGATTTCACCTGTATAATTAATGCGGCGCGCATAATTAACAACGGACGATGAAGTTCTGAAACGTTGAATCCTCTCGCATGGAGGAGCGAACCGTGACCTGTGCGTGCACATAACAACGTTATTACTTTTCTTTTTTTTAGCGCTTCTACGTGGTACCCGCGGAAAATTGTCGTAGCAACGGGAAGTGAATAAGTCAGCGCGGAACCGGAAGTCGCCGTGGGATCGCTCGCGGAGAGGCCGCTGAAAATACCAAGCGAAATCTTCGTGCTCCCTGGGAACCGCCGATTAGCCACACGCGCGTATACATTTTTCGCTCGTGTCGTGTGTGCGGGCAATCATCGCACAGCACACGCACACACGGAAACGTGATGTGCGCGCGAGTGCCGAGGATACGGTACACGCGGGAGATACAAAACGTTAGGCGAATGCGCGGATAAATCTTTTGTGGCTTCTACGCCACAGAAGTTTCTTTAATCGTGAGAAAATAAAGATCATCTCTATTCAGCCAATCCATTGAAAGCCATCATGTTCCGAATAAAAAACTTAGAAACGGAGATTAGAGAGGGGGAGAAGTTGAATCATTACGTTATTGCTATGTTCCACGTTACACAGACACAAGTGGATACGGTTAATAAAGGAGTTGCCTGTACACCACTACAAGGTAGGTCGATGACTCATGCTAATCATTGTTATGCTATGAAAAACGTCGGCTTCTAACTATTGAGAAAAGTAGGAAGCATACTTCGTCTCTGGTCTTAACCGCTGCATAGCTCCACAAAGAATGTATAATGAAGTGATCGAAGGCGCCAAAAATGAAGCACATTAATCAATGACACGTCAGCGGATGTAATATCCACGGTGTTTGGACGCTACTTGGACAAACGTTTGGCAAGTATAATTGAAGGATCAACAATGATACGGTAATGAGAGGTGACTTTACGATAACGTATTAGAACGATGTGTCTATTCGTCTTTTGATTTCTAGGTATCGAATTTGATCTACATCCAGAGACCGTGGGCGATGCTGACGTCACGCTGACCAATAACTTCCTTGGCTCGATATCCTTGAAAAATAGATACGAACACTTTTTGCCGTAGTGATTCAACGTCGCAATTTACTGTTGTTCGTTCTAAATGACGCGAGAACACACGAATAGTCGCAACGCCAAGAATACTACACAACAATGTATGTTCAAAATCGATAATGGAATTAAATTAAATGGATCAACGAGAACAAAAAATGTTTTAAATTCAAGAAAAAACATATACGTTACTTCTACATGGACAAATATTACAAAATTTATCCAAAGTAGAAAAGAATAATAAACTTTTATAAAAAACGCGATAAAAATTTAAGAAAGTGAATCGAATTGTGAAGATCTGGTACTTCATTTATGATAGTTGGCTTATGTTAGTCATTATAGACTGAAATGTGTATTTTTCTCGAAGCATTGACTGGTCTTTCTCGATAGCCAAACTCCATCTTTCTCCAATAACGCACGAGTTCACGATTGTTTTATAGGCCATCAATCTTCGACCATCGTCATCGCAAAAGCTAATATTGACTTACAATCAAAATCAGTACCTCATAACAAATCGATCGCGACGGCTCATTTGCATTCGTAAAGTGACGCTAAAAGTATCCAATCTCGCAAAAGCGGACACATTTATTTCGCGAGTTGCTGAAAATATCGCTATTAGCTGATATATTGCGGCGATCACTCAACACCAACGTCTCTATCCAAAATATTAATAGCGTTAGTTTAAAAAAAAAAAATTGTAATCGAGCATCAATCTCTCTATTAATATCAACTTTTCGAAAGTGTACCTCGTTAAATATGTAGTGAAAGGTTTTTTTAAGTAGCTTCTAGACACTTAATATTATTGTACAATTATTTTATATATTATTTTGACTTTCTTTAAATGCAATTCCAAACAACAGTAGGCTCTATATAGCTTCCAGATGATCAATAATATATTGCAATTTAAATATTACAATAATATTAATTGACTAAATCTAGAGGCCGTTTTTACGTTTTAGCGACATGAAAGTCATACAAAATTTTTCCTCTCGCTCTACTTGTATATTATAAATACGTTTTAATAAAAAAGTATCGCACTAATGTTCCAGTAGATAAAACACCTCTATGTTAGTTGATTGGCTACACAGTTCTTTTGTTGCGTTTCATTGGGTAATCAATGAACGGAGCTTTTATATAATGCGGCACACATAAAAACGATGTTTATTCCATCGGCGAAAATATACCGTGCGTCGTATCGCTGTCTCATAACCGCAAACTATTTCAGTATACGCTCGTACAAAGCTAGTATATGTAATTATTAAGGCTTATACTTGTCTTGGCATCGAATGACATCGCACGATGGGATTTCCGGGAAGCTATTATTTTTAGTTCGGTCTGCAATCAAGCCGTGTATTACGGAACGGATACCGCGAGACAACGATATCGAGATCACGCAACGTGACTTGAAGCTTTCGAACAAAGACGAAATTGTTAAACGTCAAGTGGTCCATTCTCACGCCGCCGCGTGTGTGAATAAAACAGGTGTACGTTAATAATTTATTTTGCAAGCTGACGCAATTTGTAGCACTTAGCTATATGTTTCTATCTATCTCGTTACGCAATAATCACGCAAACGTTGACGCTAAAGAGATCATGAGACGCCAAATATTAGTTCCAAAAGCACGTAGATTGTGTGACCGTTATTTATTGTCTTTGCATTTTGTTGATTTTTTTTCTACAATTTCGAATCAATGGACTCGAGATCCATACGCTCTCTTGAACTTGACGATAAATAACGGTATGATTTTTTTCGCTGAAATCAGCGAACGTGCTTTTAACGCGCCCGCGGATCGGGGATACTTATAACGATAAATATAAAAGTCGCGATTTATGAGAGCTCGCTGGTAGCAGGATTCGATACATGTCGTCAGTCATCGCGACGTCGGGCGTCGGTAGCAAAATGCATCTGGACGATTGCCAAATTCAAAAATAAGTCGAAATTCAAAGGAATCGCCCGATCGTCAGCGGCTTACTCCGTCCGTTGATCGTTTTGCAACGGCAGTAACGTATAGTCAATTTACGAAACACCGCGACGATGAGGATATCCGCTTCCACGGACTTTGGATGTGTGCGGCAAATCTCTCATGTTGACAGGAGATCTTTAGATGTTTGTTTCTTTATGCAACAATCTTTTTCCTCTGTAAATGTACCGATAAATACGTTGAAGCTGCACAATCATCGTCCAGTATGATTCACAAAATCGATTTTCAGGCTCGTCAGGTTCATCTGGACTGGAGGGGACAAAGCCGCCGTTAATCTCAAGATTTCTTCTCTCGAATTTCGAGAGCAGCCCCCGTATTTATGGGGTTGACGTAACTGTTTCGAGCGTAACACGCTCGGCAAAACGAAACCGAAAACTTATTTAGAGCAGACGATTCGTATTTTTACTACTCGCCATAGTACGGCCGCTTTTGTCTTGGAGCATCATCCGTACCGAGCCGATCTTTCTCGAGATCGATTGTGGTTGTTATAAATCTCTCCGGCTAGATGGTACAGGCGAGATGCTCAGTGAGAGTAAGCGCGCGAGCTGGCAGCGAATGGGGGGTCACAGGAAAGAGAGGGGGCAGCAGAAGGATAGACGGCCTTTTCAGACCCCTGAGTGACCAGTTTAGTTCTGGTTCGCATCCGAACTGCGTGCTGCACAGGGTCCAGAGATGACACGGTAATCATCCTTCAGCCAGCGTTTGGAGACCTGTCCGATTCGATGAATACGATGGGAAAATGACACGAAATAACTCCGCTGCGATGTGCTTCGCTGATCAAAGCGCTTGTCAGAGATCGCATTGGTGTTAGTGCAGTCTGACGTTTCTGGGAAGCGAAGTTTAATAACTGCGGCAATCACTCACGTGCGCTGTTCAGCTGTTGCATGTCAGAGTTAAATAATGTGCTACTCTCCTGAATCATAGAATTGAAAAAAATTATAGAAATGTACCGTGTGAGAGACGCGTTTGAACTTAGAATCAACGATGACAGCTTAGTTAACGAAGTTGCAAAACAAGTATCTAGGAATACGAAGTGAACGGGTGAACGCTACCGTTCTCATTGCAAATATCATTCGTACCTCCAACAGGTATAATACCTCCAAGAAATAATCGCGGCAGCACGCTCGCGCGTGGCGAGTTCGCCATTGCACTTTTTTTTCTAAAATCATATTTAATTGGAGCACGGGAGAGCCGAGCTGATAAAATTCGATGATAAAACCGTTCAACGTCATACGTGGAAACGAGAAAAGCGAACTCGTTTTGCACGTTTGAAAGCGCGCGTTTTACTACGGCATGCACTTTTGCCGTTGGTTAAATGGACACTTGAGAAATTGACACACACATTTTCACTGTTCTGAAAGTGAGCCATAGGGAAGGAGGGTCGTTGACGGAGACATTCGTACCGACTTGCTTTCGAACAGTATGTTATGAGAACACTTCCTGAAAGCAATACCGATCGCGCGTGAGGTGTGTTTTCCAACCCAAAGAAAAAATCGAGAAACCCGTGATCTCGTCCTCGAAGACGATTAAACTGCCGAGTGATTTCTATTTATTTAATCTCACAATTATTACAACGAAGATCAAGAAAGTTGATTTTCGTTTCTCGGAAACCACATTATAAGTTGAAGTCACGAAGAGCAGATATGAGAGCAAGTCCTCGTCAGTACGTGGTCTAAGAATATCGTGGAGTGGATCGTTGAACCAGAGCTTCCTTTCTTCTTTCCACGTGTCGAAGTGTCCGGGAGAAATAAATCGGAAACTTTCTCTGACGACGTTTGGCTCGACAGTATTCCGTAAACGATGTCAGGGGACACCACGTCTGACGATGAGGGATCGCAGGAGGAACCGCCACGTTACGACATCGATGATTTGGAAATCATTAAAACTATTGGTAAGTTTGAAATATTATATTAGTTGAAAATCCTATCAGGATTATACTATATTTTACACTAAATTGTTTTTCTATCCCTATAATTTTGTTTTAATTATAATTTTTATCTATCTATTACATTTTAGGTCGTTATAAACGTAAGGAATAAATCGATATACAATTCTTGAATTTGAATTCTATAAAAATATTATTCTATTGTATTCGTTTTTAGAGAATTTTATATTTTATATATAGCACGATATAAAAAAAGGAAACTAAACATATAATATGTCTTTTAAAATATTATGATATTTTACAAAATTACAAGCATATAAAATTGCAATTAGAGAAATTTCTTGCGTTAACGGTGCATAAACTTACTATTAGAAAGTTCTTAAATTCTGATATATAATTAAATAAACAGGAACAAACTCAGTTTGCAACAAATCAAAATATAATACTTTGGATCACAAATTTGAGAAAAAGAAACAAGCGAGAAGACATTAAATTCACCGCTTTCGAAGTGGGACACCAGAGAGTAAGAGGGTATCCCACTGTATATATTTAACCGCTCGTTAAAGTCAGAATTATGTGAGAGAATGGTTCGGAAAATTGCAGGTATTCGGCTCGTGAAACTCTTTTTCTACTTTTGTAATTTTAATCCCAGATGCGTTCGGGTTATTGCAATCATTGCGACGAAAATTTTAAAACGTTCTTCTTTTATACGTTTCCTGGATCTTTAATGTCAATTGGACAATATTGCTCGAAACTGTCGCGTTATCTAAATTCGTGTCGGTCGAGTATTTAAAGCGTCCACGCCATCACCGGAAACACTCCGTCGTTTTACCGTTGACACCTGTTTCGAGCCGTCGTTGGCAGCGGTCTTTTCACTGCTGGTAGACAACATGTATCATATCATCCCCTGCTGCGCGGCCAATTTCGTCGCTATTCCATGCGCGAGATGTATTCATTTCGACACAAGTATATAGACGCGCATAAACGTGTAAAATCTTGCAGCCGCGCTGCAATATGACGGCCAATTTCGCTGTTTAATTTGGCCAAGGCTCATTGCATGAATGCTAATTGGTTGCGGTACGTTAACCAGAGCAACCGAGTCACCTGCATTCGTGGGAAAGTCCATTTAATAGTCCGCGCTGCGCAATGCATATTAGCTAAAAAGAACGTCGAAAGCATTGGTAAATAAAACGGTCGCTTCAATAAGTGGTTCAGTAGACGGATTTATTATTATATATTTTGCCTCTGGCAAAAATAAAAATAGAAGTGTAAATTAAATGTAAAGGAAGAGGAACAGAAGTGTCAACGAAACTTTTAGAAAGTGTAAATTGGAGCGATACGTAAAAAGATCGTTTACTTTTTAAAACACTTTTTTTACATGCTGTTCCAATTTTAGCTTCGTAGAAGACTTCGTTTGCACACTTTCATCATTTTTCTTTTACAATTGGCTTATGCTCCGATTTGTTTTGTTTTACTGCAATTAATATCTACATGTTTACATTTGATTCTTTTAAGGCACAGGCACATTTGGCAGGGTAGTTCTCTGCAGGCATCATGGAACATTTCTCGCACTGAAAATCCTCTCCATGGTCGATGTGATCAGATTGAAACAAGTCGAGCATTTGCGCAATGAAATCACAATCCTGAAGGAAGTTAAACATCCTTTCATCGTCAATATGTAAGTATTACATCTATTACATATTATATTAAATAGAAAATATCATTTGAGAACGTGATTAGCAATTACTTATTTCTCGACAATCTCAAGTATAGTGTTTTTATTCGTGGTATTTATTCGCGATGTAATCATATCTGAGGGAATAAAGAAAGTGTTGCGTTTATCGGTCAAGGAAAAGATTCTCGCGGAGAAGATTCAAAACCTAGCCAAGACTAAGCAGATACACACAAACGCTGTTCAACTAGTTTGCGCCACTTCGCAATTAATAGCTGGATAGAAGCGAGAGAAATCGATCCGCTCGCGAAGTGAACTTTCTTTCAATCGGCGGAGCGAAATCGAGATCTGCTCGCGTAACAACTTGGTTTGCTCGATTTTGTCATCTCGTTTTTAATGTAATATTCATCTTTTCAGGCTGTGGAACAGTAGGGACGAAGCCAGAGTGTATATGCTACTGGAATTCGTCGCCGGCGGAGAGCTCTTCTCTTACTTAAGAGCGGCCGGAAGATTCGCAGGGCCCACAAGTTGTTTCTACGCAGCCGAAATAGTTTGCGCTCTAGATTATCTGCACAGCAAGCATATAGTTTACAGAGACCTCAAGCCAGAGAATCTTCTTCTTGATAGTCAAGGCCACCTCAAAATCACCGATTTCGGCTTCTCCAAGAAACTTACGGACAGGTGAGTCACTTGAAACAACAATAACTTAGAAATAAAATATAAACTGATAACAATTGAAGATAAATGGATTAAAGTTTGCTTATTAATAACAGGGTTAAGTAAGTTAATTTAGTTCTTTTAGTTTTAAACTAAATTAAATTAAAGTTAACGGCTTATAAAATAAATTTAGTTAAGTTAAAAGTTAAATGAATAAAAATTTAACTCCCTTAAAGTTACGTTAAAATTAAATTAAATCAAGTTAAGTAAAAAATTAATTTTGAATAAAATGACTTTATTAAATCAGAATATCCAAACTTTTTTAAAAATCAGATTACTTTAAAAATAACAAAACAAAATTTCAACACAATTATCAGATAAATTTAATATTTTATTAGCAAATTATGTGAAATGACAAAAGTATTTTCTGTGAAATAAAAAACCGAGTTTTAGTATTTTATAAAAAAAATAGTATTTTAGAGATAAAAGAAACTTTTATTAAAAAAAGGAATTAATAAATAAAATTTTTAAACTTTTTGACTTGCTAAATTAAGTTAAAAGTTATTAACTTTTTAATTTTTTATTTAATTTTTAACTTGTTAACTAGTTACTAACAAACCCTGGTTAATAGAATATTTTGGTGAAAAAAGAGTACATAAAAATAAAATTAACAAATTTACTTAATAAAATATTTTTTAATTTAATGTCATTTCTATTTTTTTTTAAGTATAAATTGTACTATAAAGTTTAAATTGTATTGATAAAGACTACCTGTCATAACAAGTGAAGATAGCAATGTCATGCAATTAGCGCATATTACAGTCCACTTCACCTGTTACTGCTTCTTAACGGCGTGTCATAACAAAACATTGTGAGACTGTGGCTATAATTAACATGTGTACTTTTAGAACGTGGACCTTGTGTGGAACGCCAGAATATTTGGCGCCGGAAATAATTCAAAGCAAAGGACACAATAAAGCCGTAGATTGGTGGGCGTTAGGTGTTTTAATTTACGAAATGTTGGCCGGATATCCGCCATTCTTCGATGACAATCCTTTCGGGATCTACGAGAAGATTCTGAGCGGTAGGATAGAATGGCCAAAGCACATGGATCCCATCGCGAAGGATCTGATTAAGAAATTATTGATCGCCGACAGAACGAAGAGATTGGGAAATATGAGGCAAGGCGCTGAGGATGTGAAGAGGCATCGATGGTTTAAGTTAGTCGAATGGCCCCTGGTAATTTGATATCTCAGTCTTGATTTCGCGTTGTACATATAAGTGCAGATAGATAAAAAATGGCAGAATCTAAAAAATTAGTATTTAATAATGTTAAATTAGTATTTAATAATGCCACACGAAAAAAAAATTATATTTTAATAAATATTTGTTTGAATATTTCTAACAAGGGAATACAACCTACTGACCCTCTTTTGATTTTAATAAGATTTTAATAAGCTAATTTTTAATGAGTTAAAATATAGACAAAAATAAGAGACACTTTTTTTAAACTTATTAAGATAGTTAATTGTATTCTCTTGTAAGTAAATATTTATTAAATGTAAAACTATATTTTTTTGAGACAAAAACATTTTTTAATTTAATTATAATTTTTTTATTGACTAAATATTTATTTAATTCAATAAAATATTCAATACTATTCAAAGAAATATATATAAAATTTATAATAACGAATTTAATTGGAGGTACGTGTGCACATTTGTTCACATTAAAATCGTACACAAATCGATGTAGAAATGCACGTTTAATATAAATATATTTATATCAAACCGTGAAATCCTCAATGCACTTAATTCATTGTGCTGTTTCGTAAAATATGTATTAGGCGTTTTATTATTCAAGACATTTGTATTTGACTTTTATACTTTAAATTATATCAATATACAATGACTTCAATATGCACTATCAGTGTGCCTTAGTATTACAACATTAGTACGTCCAATCGAACTCGTTATTACAGTAAATTTTTTTCATTGTGTGCGTTTTGTGATGTCAGGAACACAGTTAAACAATCGATCATTATCCACAGGTACCGCAAAGAGCCTTGACACCCCCGATAAGGCCACGCGTGAAAACACCGGGCGATGCGAGCTGTTTCGACGATTATCCTGAAACTGACTGGCGTTCCCAACCGCCTTTACCACCAGATCAACTAGCTTTATTCCAAGATTTTTGACAGCTAATGTGATGACATCGTTGAATAGTCACAAATATTTTCACTCGCAAATTTATCGAAGCACTGCAGTGCTAAATAAAAAAACTCACTTTGTGGTATAAAACAATGGCGATCACGTTTCGGCGCGAAATATGTTGATAATAATTAATTTTCCATTCTGTACATAAGTAACTTTTTATATTTTGTTGCATATTACTTATTTATTTGTATGTGTTCTAGGCTAGGCATTCCTTCTCGTTGTTTTTGTGAAATTCTGTAAATAAAGGTTGAACAGTAAATTTTAAATGTACTTTTTAATTCTCAGAACTTATCTGTTTTTCTTAAAACTGTTAATATCTATTTCCATTAAGAAATTAATTTTAATCTTTTCCTATTTACTTTTTATCTTTTTCTAATTTTTAGGATTTAAACAAATAAAAAATTAATTAAATCAAGATTAATTTACATGGATGGAAAAGAGCATAAAAATCATAAAATAATACCGTATATAATGCTGTGTATTAAATATGTAAATATTTTAAATATGTAATAGAATCGATTTATACTTTTAATCGCAGTCATCGGAAAATAAATCCCATTTAAAGTACTGCAATTATTAGATTTATCATTACATTTCATTAATTTTGCAAAACATAATAAATTATTTAAAATTAGCCTTGACACGCTACGTTTGCATGCTTGATCGCAGTAATACAACTTATAACTTTCTATGAAGCGATAAAAATCAACGTGATTCTGATCAAACAATAGTATAAAACAGCACATCGTAGAAGAAGCATTATCCAGTGAATGTTTTTGTGCTAAAGACTTTGTAAGCGAATATCAAGTGAATATTAAGAAAATCGTGAGTTGTCTAATCCGTCTTTATCATGCTATCAAATACTCTGCAACATAAACGACATAGAGTGAAAAGGATTACAGTAAATCATATAGAAATCTCGAAAAGGAAGAACGAAGAATTAGTTGAGCATCCTAATATCGATAATCGGCCAGTAGTAAAAAGCAGAAACAACATAACACATAACTTTTTACAAAAATGTCTATATGACAGTTCGGTGCACGGTATGAAATATTTCAGTAATTCGAAAATAAAATCCAGCATTATCGGCAAACTCTTTTGGACCGCAATTATAATTTGTAGTTTAGTGTGTAAGTAACAAATGTATAGTCCTGCACTAATAAGTAATACAGATATGGCTATGTGAAGTTGGCCCCCCCACTATTGAAAATCTAAAAATGACCATTACCATTCGTTTGGTGGTCGTTTGGTGGTGTTTGGTAGTCCATTCCGGACGTTTGGTAGTCAAAGATATAATGAGAAATGTCAAAAAAAAAAGAACGCGCGTGAAGTTAGCCCCCCCATATCTAAAACTCGGCTTTCCAGACTGCAAATGGAATAATGGCTGTAAGCATTCGTTTGGTGGTCGCTTACTGACGTTTGGTAGTCCATTCCCGATGATTGGTAGTCGAAATTATAGCCGGAAATATCAAAAAAAGGATACATGCGTGTGCTAGCCCCCCCATTTTTAAAACTCGGCTTTGCAGAATGCAAATGCAATAATGGCTGTAGGCATTCGTTTGGTGGTCGCATACTGACGTTTGGTAGTCCATTCCCGATGATTGGCAGTTGAAATTATAGCCGGAAATATCAAAAAAAGGATACATGCATGTGCTAGCACCCCCATTTTTAAAACTCGGCTTTGCAGAATGCAAATGCAATAATGGCTGTAAGCATTCGTTTGGTGGTCGCTTACTGACGTTTGGTAGTCCATTCCGGACGTTTGGTAGTCAAAGATATAATGAGAAATGTCAAAAAAAGGAAAAACGCGAACCACAAAAGATAGAACCACATGCAGCAATATATATAAGTTCGTCATAATAAATATTACACACCCATACACACACACACACACACGCACACACACACACAAGCACGCACACGCACGCACGCACGCACGCTCACACGATACTTTTATAAATGTCATAAAAATTTTATTTTTTGTTACACACTTTTATATATATATTATATTATTAAATTTTATTTTATAATTAATATTATATAATAAATAAATTTTATTTTGACGAGAAAAAATAATATGGATATACCAACACACATTTTTTAATTTAATTAATTATATATGTATATTTCTAATCCACACCTCAAAAAAAATAACAATGTCCAAAAAATCAAAAAATTCTTTTAATAAATTTTATTTTGGAATACAGCTAGCCTATACATTATATGTAATCGAAAAAGCCGAGTTTTAGAAATAATCAGGTAAAATACATGAGCATATGCCGTTTATTGATACACTTAGTTATAGTTCTGACTACCAATACTCGAGAATGGACTACCAAACATCAGTAAGCGACCACCAAACGAATGCTTACAGCCATTATTGCATTTGCATTCTGCAAAGCCGAGTTTTAGAAATGGGGGGACTAACTTCACGCGCGTTCTTCTTTTTTTGACATTTCTCATTATATCTTTGACTACCAAACGTCCGGAATGGACTACCAAACACCACCAAACGACCACCAAACGAATGGTCATGGTCATTTTTAGATTTGCAATAGTGGGGGGGCCAACTTCACATAGCCTACAGATATAATGTCACTTTTACACTTTTAAGTCTTTGGCTTACTTGAGCTGGTGGATTCATGGAAAGGAAAGGGGAGCCATAATCCTTCCTTGGAGGCTCCTTTTTTTAAAAAATGTTATAATAAAAATATGTCCCCCCCTCCTTTCACAAATTCTGAATCTACTATAAATGGCACGTGATAGCCAAAGAATTAACAGCAGCTTAATCCTAATTAAATATTAATTAACTAAATTGTTTAATGTCAAAATTCGTCATATATAAATATATCATTTTTTTAGTCTTAACTTTGATGCTCCATACATTCTGGGAACGTTACAACGCTAATCCAATCCGCAGCATTATTAAGTCGTTTCACACCCCAATATTTATGGCCCCCTTCCCAGCTCTTACTATTTGTCCATTAATACCACCGCCGATTGCAAGACGCAACATAGTGTTTGCAGGTTTGCGTGTACCAAGTAATATGACCACCGCAAAAGCGAGGTTTCTAGTTAGGTACAATATATTTTTTTACTAATGGTATACGTAATTTGTAAAAATTAATGATCTCAATTGCAAATCTGCAAAAAAAAAAACAACTTTTGTGATTTATATTTAATAATAATAGGACACGAAATTTCTTTTAGATATGGGCCCGATTTTGCAAATGAACACGTTCCTGGTGGTAAAAATTATATAAGCGATTTGAAATTACTATTAAAGACAAATAACTTGACACTAGTAAACTTCATAAAGGCTTTACGACCTTGTGAAGACATATTCGAATCCTGTACATGGGAAGGCGTTGATAAAAATTGCAACGAACTGTTCAAAATATCTTACACTTTTGCAGGTATATGTTGCTCCTTCAACTATCATCTCGAAGAATCCATAGAAACTGGCAGGTAATCATTATATTATGATTTTGATAACATCTTAATTACATGTTAATTATTATTATAACCAAAATTGTCTTACGACTTAATTTCGATTAAACTAGAGTCACAAAAAATCTTCTCAGAACTAATTTATATGGATCAAGAACCGGTCTTCAAATTATCGTACAGCGAAATTATTTGATCGAAGATGATGACATAAACGATAAATACATCAAATCTTCAACAAATTCTGTCGGCCTTGTGGTACAAAGTTGATACATAATGTTAATGTCTTTTTTAACGTGACATAAATAATTCTACCTTTATATATGTATTAAAAAAGAGAATTAATACACAAATACTAGTCAGAAATATTTATCATTTTTTTAAATAAACATTTAAAAAGATATTGATATATTTTTTTTCTATGAGGTAGATGTTTTCTCATCATCCTCTAGAATATGTCGCCACTGTAGCTGAGAGACAAATTCTACAAAAAGGACATTATATACACGTAATTAGATATTTTCTTAAATACAATTAACATTTTTTTTCTAATGTTATAAATAAATGCGTGGGTGAAATATTTTTCAAGTATTTGGCATAATAGCTGATCTTGCTTTGATACAATATAGACCTCCGTAAATCCAATTATCAATAAAAAACTCAGTGGGTATTACCATCAAGATTCTATGAGCGGTAAAATAATTCCGAATTGCGCAGATGAAGAAACTAAATTGGAGTATTTTCCTACTTATGGATATTCCAACTGCTTTATCAGCTGCTCTATTAGGGCTGTTCTCCAAGCCTGTGGTTGTTTGCCAATCTACTACACTCCTATAGCTGAAAAATATTCATTAAAAGTAACTTTAAAATAAAATTTTACAAAATTATTTCTTTAAATTATTATCTTTGCTATAAAAAGTTGTATAAATGATGTATTCTAATTCTCGTAGTTATGCGAATGGGAAGATTTCAAGTGCCTTTACGCAAATGCGGACAACATACGGATTATTCAAAATGTTGTTAAAGAAAATTTTACATGTGAATGTTTTACGCCATGCGAAAATGTGGAGTACGAATTACAAACTTCTACGCTTTTGTTAAATGGTGATCACAGTTACAATCCCTCGACTTTGTAAGTAGTAAATAATAAAATAAAGTACATTGCGCTCGAAGCGTAATTGTGTCTTTAAATTGTACATATACCATATTACATTCCTATATAAGTATATGTATAATATGTATGTCATTGTATTTATTTTAGTAAAAATATTTCAACTAATCAATTCATTCTAAAAATATACATGAAATCCGCTACGTTCGTGGAAATGGATACAATCCCGATTGCTGATGAATTATATTTGTTAGGTAAGTGATCGTTTCTAACTAGTAAACACCAACTAAAAGTAACATAACATTAATGTTATAATTTGATACTCAACAAATGTAATAAGATACCTGAGTTAAATACGACCCATCATAACACATATTAATTTTTTTAAATTCTATTTATAAGGATATTGAGATAAATTAAATAAAAATCAAATCTTAATTTTATCTGTAAAAATAAAATATGTGTTTTATATAAAATATTTGTAAATAAACAAAAAAACTTTTAACTTTGATATTAGACCTTATTATATTTATAAATAATTCATACTTATGAATATAATAAGGCTTAAATAAAAAAAAGAATTAGAAAAATAACGAAGAATACAGAATAAACATTATTTTTCTAAATCAGTTTTCAAACTGTTATTAATAATAAAAATAGAAGCAATTTCTTAGAACTCTACTCTTAAACATCACAATTATCTTTAATTTGGTCTTTAATTAATCTTTTAACTTTTGAAAATTTCTAACAATTTGTATGCAATTTTAGATTCTTAAAAGCAACATTAAAAATCATTATTCTCTCTCTGACGTAAAATTCATACATAATAAACAAATATTTGGCCATTACAATAATTAAATAAATGGACCTTTTATTTAATAAAAGTTTATTGTTTCTAAAAAAATATACTTATTTTAAAAAATCGATTTACTTGTCATTTTTTCATAGTTAAGAAGTTGAATAATATTGTCAACAGTTATAATAAACTATAAAATAATGTGTACTTGGTAAACTTTTGCAACAAATTGCTATAAAAATGGCTCATACACATACTTTGTCACAAGTTTTATTGTATTAAATAAACGTGTTGCTGCTTCTAATTCTCTAACCCCTTTTTATCTACTTCTTGTGGTACATCTTTTGAGCATATTTCTAGGCGTAAAAAAAGTTTTTAAGCAATGAATTCAAAACTTGCATGTTATTTAGTACTGGATGAGCTCAGATACCTCATGACATATGTTCTATAACAGTTACAGTTGTTGGGTGTGAAATTATAACATTAATGTTATACTACTTTTACTTAGTGTTTATTGAATACTTGCAGTCTATTTTAATGTCTTAATTAAAAGAAGAGAAAAATTTTTCAGCATCGTTGGGCGGCATATTTAGTCTTTTCTTGGGATGCAGCTTCATAAGTGTCCTGGAGATCTTTTACTTCATAATCTTATTTCTTCGTTCTAAATTTAAGTAAAATAGTAGTCTAAATAGTAAAAATAATTGTCGTCGATCAAAAGTTTCACAAATGACGTATTAAACAACTTGATTGAATTTGTAAAATCATGCAGCATAGTTAGAAATTCTATCGCATTTTTATCGGAAGGGTGAATAAGGAAACGATTGACATTGTACAACATCTCTCGGGACACTGCGGATGCCGCATCGAGCAACTACGAATCTGGAGCGATTAGATCTATTTCGAGCGGTTACTGGAGCGCTGCCGTAACATTTAAGTCCACGCCCGTGAAAATACATATTTACGACGAGTGTGATACCGTCTAACGATTCTTCAGAACTATTGTGTAACAAATGATTTAGATAAGTTACGAATAATGCAATTTCTAGTCCTCCTTCGAGGGCATCTTTCGATCGATTACATAACGTAATACGTCAATTTTCGTACATTCTATTTAATCTGTGCATTTTTGTTATCCGCACCTGTCCGCACCTGTCCGTTAATGTTGGCAAAAATATAAGGAACATTTGAAATAGCAACGTGCAAATATAACGAGATATATTCTGATATGATCAAGTACACGTATTTATCAAAATGAAAGAAACACGCAACGACATACGCGATCTCTTAGAAGTGAATAAACTTGGTATTTAATTTGGCGATTGTACGAAATGTATAAATTATTGAGTAAAAAGGTGAGAATAGTGGATACTTTATACATACTAAAAAGATGGATATTTATATCGTAAAAATCAGTATTTAAAAAGTGTTGGAATACAATGAGAAAGTAATTCGATATTTGAGTCATACGGTCTTGGGAGCTTCTGCCTTACGTAATATTTGAAAGCTTTTTGCTAACACAGCCCTAATTGCAGCCCAGCATTGAAATGTGTACTAATCATGTCGTCTATTTTCGCGTACACTGTCGAAAATACCGATTTAGTTCTACGCGGACATACGGTCGAACTTCGAGAGCTGGAAGCGCCGACTATTTTTGGAGAAACGCCCACATATTGCGGGGCAGCGTCGTTCACATTTCTACAAAGTTCTCTCTATTTGCATCTCGTAAGGAAATCCACAATTGCGTCCCCCTTTTAATCGCAAGTCCTTTTTATGTATACCTCGATAATAGTAACATATAATGACAAGTTATTTGCGGTATGATGATAAATAACAGTAAAGTAAATTTCAACCTGCATTTCAAACGAAAAGATTTATTTTATCGTTTGTAGCGTTGCGTTGTGTTAAAAATATATATCATACTACAAACACATTTTTAAAGAAACTTTTTTACAATATATTTTTAATATCGTAGTTAAAGATAAATGAGATGCATTTGATATAAACGAACGCGCGTGTAAAACAGATTGATATATTTCGGTGACTTTAAATGAACACAATTCAATGACGATGCGAATTATAGCTGTAGATATGCTCGTAACATAATAAATATTATTTTTAATTCCGATAATATATTTATAGCTAATTATCTGAGAGAAAATATAATTAATGTAATATCAATAACCAATTTTCATGACGAGAAGTGGTAAGAAATTGAAGCAAGACAGGAGAAAAATTTTAAATTGTTTCTATTACCCGGTAAATATATTTTTAAATTATGCGCGTCGCAAAAATCGGTCACTAAATAGTCAAAAGTGATTTGTGGAGAACATGTCTTCAGGCGCCTAAATTGTAGAGAGTATAATAAGTGAGATTTGGCGAGCTCCAAACGAGGTGTCCGTGACGATCTTGAATCCTCTGAATGCATCCGCCTTTTGCCACATGCTTTCTCTGTTGTTCAGCCCTAAAAATGTACAATATTCCATATTTAAAGTATTATTAAATACAATTTGAGTTTACTTAATCGAGTGATTTAATATTAATCAACACAATCGTAAGATACTAATTGTAAGGTATATAGGATTAAAACAAAGCAAGATGAAATTCAGCTTACTGTTCGGAGATTTCAATGACCAATTTAACATAAAACCTTCTTAATCTCATAGTTTTATTCTTTAACTTTTTTTAGCTACGAACAAAAGCTACGAATATACATTTAGATAATACTAAATGAAACAGTATAAAGTTTTTATTTTACGCAATTTTCAATAATATTAAAATTAAAATTAAAAAATGCGAAAGTATTTGAAACACTTGATGCACGTATTTTACAAATTAGGAATCAAATGCATTCATTGTTATATGTAACTCACCATGGTGAGGAATGTTTGTTGTGCTTAAAAAAACAATCCCGAGTATAATACCCAAAGCGATATTAATAGAAAAATAAGGATGAAATACGTCATCAGAAGGTTCTTCGTCTCGTGGCCTGCTGGTGGCATTTTTTTGACCGATGTGGACAAATCTGTACTACGATATATTAAATCTATTATCCACTTATAGACACATTAATTCGATAAAATTTTTCTTTATTCCTCATAAATAAGAAATTGATCAACCTTTTTTTTTCAAATTTACATGAATTTACATGTATAGCAATAATAATAATAACAATTAATTTCTTTCACATCGCACTAGATTTTTTTTAGATATTTATGATTAAATATATAATATGTAATATATTGTAATATTTTTATGAAACTCGCTTTGATCTTCATTCAAAGAAGAACTGCGATACTCACGAATGCTAGGATTATCACAAACTAATTGCGAATTATTGCCGTTATAACAGTCAGTAATCTATTTTTGATTGTAAACGTTATTACATGAAAACACTTCAAGATTTTTATCTTCAAGATCACTTAGATCTAGGAATGCGTTGTTCGCCACTCTACATGCGATCGTAGACTGGATCAGGCGATGCAGGATTCGCACGCTCGGACCGCTTTGTGATCCCGAAATTCCTCCAGGAACCGCATCACCACCCCCACCCATTACTTGTGTGTACCGTGTCGTACCTTCCCACCTTCTGCTCCAGGATTGGTAGAAGACAAGATCCCACCATCGGCTAATGTTGCTTGAAGAGCAAAGAGTTTCGTTACCTCGAGTTATATTAAGGCATTGTGGATGTTAGACGTAACTTCTTGACAAAAACGCCACCAGATCGGTTCCAGATAACCGTAGAGACACTGTAAGTATTGGCAGGTTCAAGATCGTTACGAAATTAATATGCACAGGTCCATTAAGCACGATTGGGAACTGCAAGATGCATCGTGTTATTCTGAAAATTTCGGATGACTGCCAGAACTGTTGCGCGCGATTAAGATTTCACTCCTTAGTCAATCCGTGCCAATATACAAGGCCGTCCATCATTTTCGGGCTCTCGTCTAAATTTAACTCGTTTAGCCAAACATCAATCTCGATGAACAATGTATGGACACCTCCGAACTCCAGCTCATCTGTTATGTAATGCATTTACTTTGTGAAAAACATGTACTCGGCATTACTGTTCCTCTAATTTATGAATTAATCAGAATCAAAAGTATTCAATAACAAATTGAAACATAAATCTATTGAACAGATCAGCATCCAAACATTTAACGGATTTTTTTAATTCATTAAGTCGATTTATAACTGTAATAGTAATCAATTTAATTTAATTAATTAATATAATAATTTAATAGGTTATTAATGGATTGATTAATTAATATTTATTAAGTGATAATTAATTGGTCAGTTAACATTAATTACACTAATCATGAAAGTCTTAATCCAATTTTATTTTTTTTGGATACATAATATATAATACATATAGTATTCGCATGCTGTTCGCACAATACAATGTACAATTTAATCTATATAAGGAGAAGTTGACTTGATTTTAGTAACTACATAATTTCTGATATCTATATATGTGTGGAATCTTTCTAAGCTGTACAATGAAGATATAATAATATTTACATAGACACGCAAATATGGCTGCTTGAAAGCAATAACTTTGGACACGATATGACACAACTCAAGTTACGAAAATAGGAAAGCGAAACTTTTATTACAGATTAACTCACGACACGGTACACAAGGTGCGCATATAAATAGAAATTATCCTAAGATAATATTTCGTTCTATAAATTGCGTACCAATATAAAAGTTTCGACGTACATTTCATATCATATGACTTTTACAAAACTAAACTTGGAAAAAGTTGACAGTTTCTCTTGGCACCGGCAAAAGAAGTTCTTTTATTTTCGCTTTACTATCCTTAAATTCTTGGCACAAGGCACCGTTATACATTTAAAACGCCATAACTTTAAATAAATAGTCTGTGGTATATCTATGAATGTGTTTATGAATATACTGATCATGAAATATAATGATTAATGATGCATAATCCCATACAGCGCAGAAGCTTGCAGCAACATTGCTGCAATATTGATAATGTTATTGCAATGTTGCAATTTTTCTACAATATTACTGGAAAGATCTGTGCTGTATTAAATATATATAACAATAATTTAAAATAATTTGATACGTATAATTTTTCACATATGTAAAATTACAATCATCTTACAATCAGTATATCTTACAACAAACTTTTTTTATTTCTCGTTAATTAGTAGAGCAATGACTTAATTAAAAAAGCCATCTTAAACTCTTGAAATAAAGTATATATTATAAAATGTACATGATTCTATATATATAATTAATTTAAAGATATATATGTATACGTATATGAGGTAGTACGAGATTTTATCTGTAAATAAATAAAATAAAAACAAATAGCTCAAAAAACCGTTTGACATTGAAATTTTAGACAGTTCTGTATTATTGCATTGACCAAATGTAATAATAATAATTATTCGTCCTCATGTATAAACTGGCATGTTCATATTTTATCATATTTTACATAGACTTTAGTGATGTGATAATTTAAGCTAGTGGCACATAGAAAAACGTAAGCAGTAAGCAAATCAACGTTTTTGATTTGTTACTGTTTACGTCTTGTTATACTGCTCTTTTTATGTGCCACAAGCTTTACTCGTATTATGTATGTACGTTTGCTTCTTAATATTAATGACCTTAAGCCAAGGAAAATCCCAACACGTCTTCCAATGAGTAGTCAAACAGCCTTAAATCTAATTTATATAGATCTGCTAACTTGCGAAGCTGTTTGTAGCTCAAGGCAGAGTAGTATCTGTCCAATTTTCTTGATGTCGGCTCGCTGCTTGGCGATCTAGCTGGAAAACTATGTAATCATATGTAGTAAAATGTTTCTCTAATCTATAAATGTATTTATCATTACATTATTCTTTTGTTACCATGAGTACATCTACGTACTTTACAGAGGTGACACCTATCCGTTCAAGAACTTCCGTGGCATCCTCGACCAAACTCTCATACTTGCTTATGAGATTGTAATTAACTATGCATGGTTGGCATAGATCATATATCGGTCTCCAATGTTCATTCCGAGTTCCATTCTCGGCATCGTCGGTAACAAAATCAACGAACTCGCGGAACGTCACATCGTCACCGTTCCTTAAAGACTCCTCGGTTGCGTTCGGCCTGTACTTCTGCATAAACATCATACAGTTAAATCGCTACTTGTAACTTGATGTTTTCGATATTTATCTCTGTTTGTATACGGAACTTGCCATTAACGGTTATATGCGATAAAAGTAGGACAACCCGCACGTAAAATTAATCATAATCATATTTCAAGAAGTGCGCAATTATACGGTATTTCTAAATTTTATTCAATTACTGTACAAATAAAGATCTAACATCTTACAATGGTTGAACAAACCAATATTTTCTTTTTATATATAGCCTTCGCAATATAACTTAAATTATTCGACGGGTAGAGAAAGAAAGAACCTCGGGCAAAATAAACTATGAGGACAGTACTAAATTATGTGTCATTTTATAAGTAGTATTATATACGTTGCCCGAAAAATAGTTTTAGGTTTAGGGAGAGGGAGGAAGCAAAGAAGTCATTTCTCTTAACTTCCTCTATAAATACATATAAAGATGAAGTATGCTCGCTCATGGTTCAATCAAAATTCCTAATAAAATTAATTGAGGTTCTTTTATCAAAAATAATAATTTAATATTGATTTTATCCGTTTTATTTTATATTATACTATACACACATATGTAGATATGTATATATAAATTGTCGTATTTAAGACTATAGCATGAGATCATATAAGTAAGCGTGACATCATAAATTGACTTATAAATACAATGTATGGTAAACAATATGCAAATTATGATTAGAGAGATCTATAAACGCTAAGAGGTACAGAAATTTTATATAAAAAAGCTTATTTTTTACCTTGACGATTTTCTTGCCGAAGCGAGTCTGGAAATATCTCGCACTTTTCTCATGTTTGGTCTCCAATTTATTTCGATAGGCCGATAGAAGCCTTTCCAGAGGATGTCGCACGACAATTAACTTGTCATACGTAGCCAATTTCTTCTCTATCTCGAGCAAGGTGTAATTGTTCAATCGTTGAAAAGTGCCGGGGGAATGAGCTTGATCAGCCGGTATTTCTAAAGGATCGTTACCAGACCATTTTCCGGTCGCAATCATTAGTACGCGCTTCCAATTTGTGCAAGCCACCTGAAAAATAAAATCGCTTCGTCTTAGAACGCGCAACGCGACGCGTTTTAAAATATTCTTTACAAATTATGACATTGACATTGTTCGATAATCTTAATAAAAAGGCAATGGTTTTGGATACCTTCGGTACGTAGCAATAGAGCAATTCGTGCAATTCGTCCACAAGGATATTTCGGAACAATTCTGGATTTAACGCAGTGATATCAACTTCGCTACTTTCAAGCTCGCAATTATATTGCAGCCTTTCCTGTCTCTCGACCAAGGCCGACCTGGCCAACGCATTTGGCCCTGTCCAGGAATAAATGTATTTGTTCTGCTCGAACGGTTTCTTGTCTTCGTCATTTGAATGAATTTGCGCGACGTTCGTGTTTGCATTTGCGATCGTTTTCCATGTAACAACGAGTAAAATTATCCTCCACGCTCGACATCCTGTCATCGTTATCCTTTACCCACCGCGAACATTGGACTCTCTTGTAAAATATCGTACAGATTGTAAAATTCTGAATCTATAAAAAAAAAAAAGAACGGCTTACTTTACGGAATTGTCCATTCCAATGGAACACCATTACAAAATCGTAATAATGATCCTGTACACTAAATGTTATGCTCTCTTATACTACTTTCAATTAAACAGACATATCTATTTATCATATGCGACAAGAAATCAATTATAGTTATTAATTTATTATAAAATATTCTTGTGTGAAATAATATCGATCAAAAACATTGCACTAATAGTAAAGCGGTAATAATATGATAATTGGACGCATTAGATAAATCGAGCAACTTTTTTAGTATTTAACTGCTACTTATTTAATTGAAATATTGAGAATTTTATACAAATGTTAATTTTTCTTTTTTTTACAGCCTTTGTTTATTTTTTATATTTATATTTTTATTATTTACTAGACGCATTTCCTATTCTTTAATACAGACAATAGGAGAGTGGACCGCAACGTAACTTTCTAGGTCAATGTTACGGTCGTGGCGCAAGTGCAATCATATCACAGACAATGTCTCCTCGTCGTGATATGCATAGACATATAGTTATATTTATAAAAATTATATTATAGAAATGCATATTTATTTTCAAAATGGCTACTGATTATTTTTATCTCACATTCAAATATATATGAATCTATAATTGTTTCTTTACAAATATCTTGACAAAAAAATAAATAGACAAAATATACGAAAGAAAACGTGGCTACGAAATAAACAAAGAAAAGAATTTAACATCTACCATACGCTGGATTGAATTAGCGATTTAATTCATAGATTGAATTAAAACAGGAAAAGATAAATTGGATAAAACAGAAAATACTAATGTGTTATTTATATAATAAAATTAATTTATCTACAGTGTTCATATGTGGGACAAACCAAAAGAAAATTAAAAACCCGAATAAATGAACATAAAGCAGACATAAGAAAATTACACTATCATTCAGTAGTTACGAATCACCAACTTAAATACAATCACAAAATGGACTGGATAACAATAAAATATATAATTAAACTTCCTGCAACTTATCTTCTCATCCTCTTAAACCCACCCCACCACAACACTTTAGATTCTCATTCTTAAGGATATCTCTCTTTGAAATCTATAAAAGCAACAATTTTGAAATCGAGTCTCATAACGATTCGTGTTCTTGACTATTATACTGTATATTTATTATTTACACGACCTATTTCCTATTCTTTAATACAGACAATAGGAGAGTGGACCGCAACGTAACTTTCTGGGTCAATGTTACGGTAGTGACGCAAGTGCAATCATATCGCAACGTAGACAATGTTCATTCTCCAAAAAACAAATTCGATTAGAAGTAGGTGATGCTGAACTCATCAAACTTGTATTAAAAATAAGGTAATTACAAGATTGAAATAGATATATACAAAATAATTCTCATTCTAACAAAATAAAATTATGTAAAATTGTCTGGAAATTATATCCTGGCATTACAAGACAAGTCCAAAGAATTAAATGAATTAACAAAAATGTACAATATATTATCAAGAGGAACTTTTATTTCATCATTCAGACTTGTAACAATATAAATAGTAATAATATAAGTTATGACACTCTGACAAACTAACGCTTAATTTAAATTCATAAATTTTTGATAACAAAATTGTATTAAAGACACAAGGAAATTCTTATACTCTTATACCTTAAATATTAAATATAAGCATACTACTGAAGATGACCACATTAAAGACCGAAACGTTTATGTATTGAGATTGATTGAAATATAATTAATATTTGCTAATTTAACCCAGCGTGTGGTAGATGCTCAATTCTTTCCTTTGAATAAATAGACACATTGACCTTGTTTATATCGAGCACTATACGCGTACTAATCAGTAACTTTGTATTAAATTATTCTAATTTTGGCGATGCGTGTAATCGTATACACGATATGGCTTAATTAATCATATAGATGTATATTGCATCAGTTTAATATACCATTCCTTATGTATTGTCGAAATTAAGAATTAATAATTGAATAGAAATCGTAATAATTTAATAGTAATCTTATACACAATATTGCTTAATTAATCATATAGATGTATATTGCACCAGTTTAGTTTACCATTCCATATGTATTGTCGAAATTAAGAATAATTTAATAGAAAGTTACTAGTTAGTACGCGTATCAAGTGCTCAGCGTAAACTAGGACCAAGAGAAAGAAATGATTGCAATTACTACGAGTATAATTTAACTATAATTTATCGTTATTTTTGGGGATAACTGTATATTTATAGTTATTTTAATCATGCAAATATAGTCAATTGTGCTATTAATAACAGTCATACACACTGTTTAAATAACATTAGTTTTTTCTCTTAACATATTTTTTGTTATTATTACCACTCAAAATAGTAAGTGAATTTAAGAAAATATAGTTGTGTTCATTATAATTAAACGTGATTGTATTTATTGAATAAAAATATTTATTTTATTTATCACACATTTATATTTTAATATTTTACAAAATTCATATTTAAAATTATCAAAATTTATAATTTTTTCATATTTAAGAACTATCATATATGTTATTGTTACTAATATTTTAGCGCCAAAAATGAAGTTTCTAATCATAATTATTATATCACACATTTTATATCAAACATTTTCCTTTCAAAAGTGCAAATAAGTTTTATTAGATCAAAACGGATTTTAGCGGTAATGATAATTCTTTATAAATTTATAAACAATTTATTAAAAACGTATACATGAATTATCAAATTATAATTTAAATATGTCATATATATAATATTTTTATAATCTATTTATAATTATAATTTAAATTAAAATTATATAAATTGTATGATATAAAAATTATTAACATAATATAAAAATTTATAATTTATAAAATTTATAAAACAAAAAGATTTTTAATAATAACTAACAATTTTTATCAACATTTTTCCTCAAGTCGCGAAATTATTATCGATATAACAATTAACATTGGATAAAGCATCCGATGATCTTCATATTTTAAATAAAATGCAAATCGCATGTAAAATTAAAAAAGTAATAAAGTAACATTGAATTATAATCACGTTGAATATCATGCTATATGACGTAACAAACGCAACCAAACGAAATCTGAGGAAATAGGAGTGTAATCATGATGCTTGATAAATATCTCGAAAGCAAATGCAGGAAATCGCACATAATATCACATTCCACACAGACATATGTAGAATTGAATCAAGAAACGTAGAATAATCAACGAAATGAGTTACAGTATTATAAAAAAATAATAATATAAAGTCTAAAGCATTTCATAATTATATTAAAATTCTATACGTTGCATATCGCATTATACACGCGATGAGAATTTTAATTAAAATCACAATGACAATGGCGTGCTGTACATTATAATGATATATATGTAACCTAAATCAATTACTCAAAGCCATATTAGATTTATGATTCCTAATAAAGATTTCAATCGTTGCAATTCTGTAGCGAGAATAAAGTATTTTGCGATTGTAATCGCTATTGTGTCATTCTATCCTTATTATTAATTAGACGTAACATAAGAATAAAATAATGCACTCTCCAAACTCGCCTTTGGTCAACGATTAATCGTTTCCACGCGCGCGATGACATATAAAGTTTCATCAATAATACAGTCAGTTCGTTATCATCACGAGGCCACTTTGCACGAGCGATGATTAATCGCGATCAATTAATTCTTAATTATTTCTTCGTAATTATTTAACGTACATCATTATTTTTTTATCATTCTACAACTTATAAGAAGTGATTTTGTAAAGGTTTAAATACGAAAGACCAGACATTCCTTCACACTTACTTCGGGAACTGCGGTGTAGACGACCTGCAGACAGGTAAGGCGTATTTAGAATCAGTGCAATTCCGCAAATTCTTCGGAGCGCGCGGTCAAGCGCACCGCAATCTTCTCCAGAGCTTCATGAAGATTTAAAACTTTCAAGGGCGAGTTATCGGCGCTCCGATAAATCGGCCGAATCGCTCGTTCCAAAAAAAAAATCGAGTCACGGAATCTTCATGAAAGAATTCTGACTTCCGTTTCACTTTTTTGAAACCTTGCGCGGAAGGTACAATGAACTGACTGCCCGCTTGACAACGTGAAACTCATCGGCGGATGCCGCGCACCGTAAGGAGAACACAAGTGGTCAAGCAGCCGATCAACGTAAGCAGCCGGCGATCGCGTTAGGTCTCAAGACGAAACGATGATGTGTCAGTGTGTAAAGTGAAAGAGACGCTGCGCGCGCCTCTGCTCTTTCGTTCTCGTTCTCTTTTCGATCGTCCCGGATCGGTCCATCCTCCTTCGACCCGGGTTCATATCCACGGACTTCCCCACTGTCAGCTTAAATCTGCTCGCGTATGTATATTCGTAGAAACCAAAGGCCACGTGATGTAAAAACAAATCATACAATATACCTACATATAATTGATGAGCTCGCACGAGTAGCGAATCGTCTGCTGTCTGAAGAGTCATGAAATATCTATATTGCCGATGATCAATTTTAATTTTAACGGACCTCGGAATTCAACGCCTTAAAATTCATTCAAGTGGAAAATTGGGCACCCTCTTTGATCTCTCAAACACGTTCGTATAACCGAACCAAATGTATCCCATCATTTTACTCGTTTACTCGTATCTTACATTTTCTTGATTGTCATTGACTGTTCCATCTCATTACATAGTTTACATACCTTACTTTCACTCTTATGTGACATACGAGACTTTCTTAAAATGATTTTCTTCTGTATACCGAAATATCCATATGCAATATGATGCAATTTTTGTTACGAAACTTGTACGAAAGCCTGCCATAAATTTTTTTTCCTTTAATATTGCAACAGCAGCACTGATTTATCTACTCTATCTATGATATCGAAAACTATTATACACGGTGTTGATAAAAAATTACGAGTAAACATTGATAATTTCGATTTACACACACAATAGATTAAAATTTTTTTAAATTTAAAACCGATTTTGTTCTTAAAAAATATCAAAAAACGATTAATATTTCTATTAAGTTATTAAAAAAAATTTTTTATAAATCAAACTTTAAAAAAGAACTAAATTATATTCTTTAATTAATTTCAAATGATTTACTGGAATTTAATTTAAAATATAATTATTTGTTTACACAAATGATAAATTAATCATTTTCTCTCCTCTCTTTCGACATTTTTTCTAAAAAAGATCGAGTTTAAATGATAAAAAGAAAAACGTTTATTGCGTCGAAATGACTTCTCATTTTAAAGCATTAATTACTTATTCAATTTTCAACCACACACACTTTATCAAAAATTTGCACTTTATGAAAAATTTCACCGAGAATCAATAAGTTGACATCAACCATCCATTAAGATTGGACAAGCATTATGGGAGTGGTCCACCTCATTAAACCTGTAATTCTATTAAACCACTGTCCATGTGCTACTTATCTCAATTTCTCTCTTTTTACATCGTAAGATATTTCATTGGTACGTTTTTTTTTTCATATAATAAACAGGTACAGGTAAATCCTCAGATCTCTTTAGTTTATAGCTAACCAACAAACTTAAAAAATTTGTCGTACGACAAAAACGCAGAAATAAAATAGTGGTCGTATGCGATACATAGATGATCCCAGTGAAAAATGACAATGAAATCGATGTCGAATTCATTATCATTTATCACTGGAAATAAATCAGTTATGATACTAACATAAAAGTTGTTTAGAAACGATTTCAGAAACGATTGAGCTTTCGATTTATATTAGGGCTGGATTTTTTACTCAATCAATATGATGTGCATTGTCTACCATATAAATGTTGAATGATTTTTTAACACCTTGTATATAAGGTTAGACAGGATATTATTATAAAATTATATATAATGAATTATACATAATTATATTGTATATATATATGTATACCTATACATATATATAATATTTTTGCTATAATTTTATATATGATTATAGATGAAATATTTTGCAACTGTCATTATTTTTTTAACCGCAAAATTTAATATTTATTTTAGTTATTTATTATTTATTAGTTTCCGCTGAGTGAATTGTAGGTCATGTAATGCGGTCAACTGCTTGTAAATGTGGCCTCTTTAAAGAAGGATTATATCAACTCACAATCAGGGTCAACGACTTTTATCATTGGCCAGTAACATGTCCACATGTAATCACGGATGAATGTCGGAATCGTTAACGAAATTGCTTCTACTACACAATTTCCGCATTGTAACTACTAAAGCCTCTTAACTTCAATACAAGAAATTAATCACAAAATTAACTCATATAATGATGTAATACAAAAAAGGATTAAAAACTAATAGTAATTTGACAAGCGACTATAACGATAAGTTAAAAACATACGAAACATTGTAAGATCAGTGCTATGCAAAGGTTTTTCTATAGTATAAAGGTATAAAGATGATATTATTCACCTGTTTATGAATTTAGCACGCATGCACGCACACGCTAGCACAAACACACACAAATATTGAAAAAAATATCAATTTTCAATTTTATGTAACTTAGAAACAAAATATTATAGAAATAAAATTTAAACGCTTATCTTTATTTGATAAAAATCTCTATTTTTGAAAAATTTATTTTGAATTTTGAATCTCTATTTTTCCTCTTTAAAATGCATTTTTTAAAATTCCTTCACAATTTCGTTTTGCAGCTAAAGATTTAAAAAAGGTGATAACATAATTACAATAATTTATCATTAAAAAGTAATAAAAAAATCAATTATCGCTGCTCTCTAGCTCTTCATTATACTCACTGCGTACGAACTTAAATAACACATCGATGTATTCAAATAATAACTGCTTGTTACGTTGCCTAACAATCATTGTAAGATAACTATTTCCAGATTACACGTATATTGTATTATCTTATCACAGTCAAATATAAAAGTTGTACGATTGGACAAAAGATTAAAATATTCAAAATAATAAATATTTAATCATATTTAAATTATTACTTTATAAATTATAACTTAAATATAAAATTAATTTGAATGGTGACAATAAAAAAATATTACTGTTATATATAATTTGTTTCTAACTAGTTATACTTGTTTGTTATTATTGTCCTTCATATTAGTAATAAACTTAAACTATTTTTTGGCTCGTAGCCCTTCTTACTTACAATTATTTAATAAAAAAATAATTATACTTTTTCGGAATCCGTTTACACTGACAGCTCTAGTGTGGAACATTCAAGTCCCTCTTTGCACGATTTTACATAAAATATATTAAAAAATACCTATAATCAGAGTTTGATTAAAGAACATAACTAATTAATTATCTCTAAACTTTACGTAAAATCCATATACATATATATATCTAAAAATTTATTTGTTGTAATTTTGTTATAATTTTATATTCTCTCATTATGTGAGGATATTTACAAGTGTCGATGTTTTCTAAAATGTTATCTCTTTTACATAACTTTTCATCATGACATCCGTGATCAACATGCAGCAACTCTGTTGAGGCAGAATAAAAGATAACAAACACTCGAGTTACTAAGTACGTGTTAAATAATCGCAGCTTCTAATTCGACGTAAGAATTTGCTTATAATATATATGATAGATATATACATATATATCGGTTACGCAATAAAAGCTGAGATCTTTCATCTGACCCAAAGAAACGAAAAATTGTACATGGAGCCACGAGAATTTCAGCAAAAGGAGAAAGTGCCATGACTTCTCGACTTGGCCTTCAGTACAATCACCCGAGCGAGATGACGGTTTAGTCTTGCTTCGGCTTTCGTTCCTCGAACATCTCTGACCGTGCCGGTATCGAAAACACAAATCAAAGCGAGGGTGAATAAGAGATAAGGGACGAAACGGGGTATTTGGTAAGATATACCTTCAAAAAGAACGATCAATCGCTTTTGTTGCGTTACCGAAATATCTGGCGTGATTAAGTAATACACTTTCACGTGTTAAAGCCTTGAGATTCTCGCAAATGTTTTCTCAATTGTGACATCGTATTTACGTGAAAACTTCAAAGTTTTAAAAAAAAAAATATATCACAGAAAACTTCAAGTAAAAATATTAATTAAAATTAAGGAAAGTTTAAAATTTAATACGTTTCTTTTTATCACAAATAATTCTAGGAACAAGCAAATAATTATATACAAACATCTTGTAAATACAAAATGTAATAAGATTATTATGTAAATACGCAACAAGTAACAAAAAGGACTTATTGGTCTGAGCTGGACCTTAATACTTAAATAACGTTTTGGTACAAAAATTTAGATATTGTATGGTTTATCTTCAATTCTATAAATATCTTTTGATAAAAACACGTTAAAGAAATGTCAATAGTTTTTATAATAAAAAATTAAAGAAAATGTTTATTTGAGATTTTTAACTAAAATATTTTTCTTTTTTAGGTAATTACAAAAGAGCGCAAAATAACGAAGAAAAATGTTAATATCAATAGCATTTTGGTTGTTAGTTATTTTAATTAGTTTTTGGATTCTACTTGGTCCTGTTTTGAGATTTCTGCGTGTTCTATGGGAAATTATTATGCAAATATATTATAAGAAGACAATCGATTTACGAACAAAATTCGGCGAATGGGCAGGTAAATCAGAAAATAAATTATATATACCTATTATATACATCTCTTAAATTTTAATTATAAATATTAATTTTTATAAATATTAATTAATTTATATAAATTTTATTTAAATTATTGAAAATTTTTTTATTTTTAATTGTAATATTTTATCTTATATTGTTTTGGATATAAGGACATTTTATTCATTAATATAATTAAATATTTATATTCTTGCAATAAATTCTAGTAATAGTTTTATAATCTAAATCATTATGAAAATTTTTTGGACCAATTTTCATTGATTCAATAAATATTTTATTGTATTTACGTAGGTACAGTTTTGGTTTAGTGTATGTTTAAAATTATTTCAAAAAATAAAAAAAAATAGACTAATTGAAATCAGAGCTGTAAATGGTGCGTACATTTTTTACATAATTTAATAATAATTTAATAATAATTCAAGATTATATTGAAGAAAACGATTGACTAATTTTGAGCCATATCAACTAAAGCGAATACAAAGGTGTGGTCTTTTTACGCATTACACTGTGCCATCAATCGCAGTCCATGTGAGATAATCAATTATTCCTCCATCGGAGAGTAATCCAAATCAGGAGACTGAATAACATAAGTTGACTGAATGCATCTCAAAAAAACGCAAAGGTATACATATTCAAAAAGACAATAAATGCACTATAAGGTTGAGATTACAAATAATATAAGAAAGATTAAACTGCGACTCAGAAATTAAAATAATATCGCACAAGAGTAAAATGCGTACAGTAATCAAAGATTGAAATTGAAAGTTTTAGAGTTGGTAAATGTATCAAACGTTGCCACGTTAGAAACTATATGTAAATATTTTAGTTTCTGACGTGGCAACGTTTGACACATTTACCAACTCTAAAACTTTCAATTTCAATCTTTGATTAACTATTTGCATTTTACTCTGGTGTGATATCATTTGAATTTCTGAATCGCAGTTCAATCTTTCTTATTATTTACAATCTGACATTTACTATTCTCATATACTCTTTTCGAATATGTACATCTTCTGCGCTGCTTTAAGTTGCACTTTATCAATCAGTGCCATTCAGCCGAACTCTGGCACTCTTCAACGGAGGAATGATTGACTATCTCACATGGATCACAGTCAATAGCACACTCTAATTCTAATGCGCAAAAGAGCATATCTTTGTATTCTCTCTAGCTACTAATTAAAATTTGAAATATATTTTTCTCTATTTAATGTAATCTCAAGTTACTACGTATTAAATTTCATTATATGAAAAATGAACACTGTTTACAGCGCAATTTCTATTTTCTTTATACTTTAAAAATAATTTTTAATTTTCTCTCTCTCTCTCTCTCTCTGTGTGTGTGTAATCTTATTTATTTATTTAAACTTTCAAATTATATTTAAAAATAATCATAAACATTCTAGTTGTCACTGGGTCAACTGACGGTATTGGTAAAGCTTATGCTAAGGAATTAGCAGTAAGAAATATGAATCTAATATTAATCAGCAGAAACTTAGAAAAACTTGAACGTACAAAAGACGAGATGCTATTAATAAATCCAAAAATCCAGGTGAAGATTCTTGTGGCGGATTTCGCCGAAGGAGAAAATGCTTTCACCAAAATCCATTCTCTTTTGCAAGATATATCCGTCGGCATATTAGGTAATTCAATTGATTATTATTTTCACTGTAATTTAGTAGCTGTTATTCATGGCTAAAACAAGATTAGAACAAAATTACTGAAAAATACATAACATATATGAACTGTTTTTCTTTAAAATATAAGTCTAATTTAAAAAAAATTTTAGCTTGTTTTTTTAAATTTCTGTCTTTTTTATTCTTTTTAATTTTAAGTTTTAATGCTTTATAAAATTCTTTGAAATTATTTAATAAAAATTTAGCTGTTACAATTCGTATATCCAGTATAAATAATCGCGGTTGCATATATGACCAATTAAATTTTATAGTACAAATAATTGTACTTATATTTGACTTATGATTGATTTAGATTTATCTCAAGTACAATACAAAAAGTCATGATACAAAATAAAACAATTCTAATATAATTATTAAATATATCATTCAACACATTATTAAGATTTTTCTAAGATGCGTGAGAGCGAATTGTTAAATTACTTGACAATTTAACTCGTGATATTACTGCGGTAGTTCAGGGAAATTTGCATTTTAAGACCAAAAAATCATTTCAGCGCACAGTTTAAAGTTTAAAGGATACAAAATTCACACAGAATTATTACAAGTATACTTAAGATCCACATAGACCGTTTAATTTAAAAGACCGAATTTATTTTCTATAGATCGAGTTCTCACATCTACAATTAGATTTAATATTTATAATTATTAAAAGTCATTTTTTGTTTAGTTAAGATTCATTTTTATGTTATTTTAAAGTTTTCGTGATCTTTTAACGTTATATTATTCTCTGCTTGGGTATAATACTTTGCAATTTCCAAAAGCAGTTTTGATCTCTATTGACAATGAATTCCTTTCCTATTAATGACTTTTGGCAGACTTCATACTTTCTAAATCTCGTGGAATGAAATCTTACTCGAAGAAATTGAAAATTGAACTAGTCTGGATAAAATAATGAAAATACTCTTGTTCAAGAGTGACAGATTTTTATTCTTTTTTCAAAACTAGCTTAATTTTCAATTTCTTTGAATAAGATTTCACTCCACTAAATTTAGAGAATATATAAATTTTTTTAAAGCAGTATAAGCAGTATCAATAGTCAACAATGTTATTTCAAACTGTGTATATATAACCGTGTACAAAGTTCCAGCAAATCGTTTGCTGGAGTAAAATAGTCAAGTGTGTAAACGGCTTTAGATTTATATTATTCAATTAAATTAAGGTACCATTATGGTATAATAGTAACATTATAATGTCAATTATATGCTGTAAAGTAAAACATAAATAATAGCTCTATTTTTTTAAGAATTATTAATTATTAATATTATTAATTATATTTTTATATTTATATCAAATGAATATAATTTGACATTCAACAATATTTTTTGTATTATCACTATTATTACTGTTTGTATTTTATAATTATATTTTAAAATAGTTTATTTTAATTGAATTCTAAACATAACTTGATATAAGTCAATTTTTTACAAATTTATTATTTTTAGAAATGGTATTACTTATTATCAACAAAAATATTGTTTTATTTAAATAATGTTTATAAAAATTATATAATAATATAATAAAATTACACGTGCCTCTAATGCCCAATTTATACGGTGAGATATATACAGCTGAAGATATCAGGTATTACTTTCATTTAAATAAATTAATCGATTTAATGATCGTGTGAATTGAGCAGTTTCGGCAAGGCCAGCTATTTCAAATATTATTCTACTATCCACTGGCCTTCTTTCACTACGTATAAATACTTAGATTAACTATTGGCCCTTTATAGATACATAAATTAATATGAATCAATAGCTGTCCTAATAGTACGTAATAGCGAACGTAATGTACAAGTTATATGATACGAGTTAATTGGTATATGCGAATTGATAATATCAGTAGTTAAAGTTGTATCGATAGTTAAAGATTACTGGCCTCTCGTGTAAATAGATTTGTCGAGTTGCTGACCAAGCAAGGTTGGGCAGTATCTGGCAAGGCCAACTACTTTAAATATTTTTATTTAAATATCTACTGACCTTCTCCCACAATATAGATAGACTAGCTATTGATCTTTAAAGCCCAAAGTTTTCACTGCGATTAATTTACTGTTAATTGCCAATAAAAGACTAGCCTCCTGCGAACTGAATGGTCATCTATTCAGTCCTTACTGACCTTTATTATTTACAATTTACATGATAATAAGTTACTAGCTTGACAGTAAATCGGTAATATTGACCTCCGAACTATTATAGACGGCTTATAGTTATCTCGGTCATAGATTCTCTGTTACCAGAAAAAAACTAATTACATATATACTGTTTGGACATATCAAATTAATCGAATAATCAAATACTCTAGCCATTATTTATTTGTACATTCATAAAGAGACAAGAACAGCTATTTGCGCGCAGTCTTCAATTATTGACGCGTAGTATTCTCCAGCAAAAGACATAAGTGTAATACGGTGTAACACAGTGACCATTTTATCTCTGTTTAACATTGGCAAATAATAAGAATGTAATGATTTACTGTGTTACACTGCGTTATCTGTGTTTTTTGCTAGAAAGTACCAGTAATGTATTATCAACTCGCCCTTGTAGACATAATAAGAATAGAATACGTAACTAATAAATTAGTTTGAACGCTATTGTTTTATTAGTAAGCTAATATAGCTTGCATCGTGTAAATCAGACCTAAGTTCTTAAAAACGTAGAATAAACTTATTAATATTTAACAATATTTTAAATAGGGTTAAATGCAAAATTGTAAATAAATTGATGAATGTAAAAAGAATCTTAATAAATTATTTTTTAATATACAAAAAATAATTAACAAAGAACTGTTTAATTTTAGTAAAAGAACGAATAAAATTATTTTTGGGAATTTAAAGATGATAATTATATTAACAATAATTATACAAATCTAATAATGTAGCTTTTGTTAGTTCACATCGAGACACAAATCAAATATCCACACCTAGACACATGTCAGACATTGTGTTTTAAACATATTATTGACAAAAGTAATGTCAATTCAAAGATTTGTCGCATTATACGTTTTAATAATAATTATATATTCAAAGCTAACATATCTCATGCGCAGACATCTCCGTCCCTGAAAACATTTGCCATTTCAGATTCGGCAAACTATAAGTGACTTATCCTTTATGGACCGACGGAAGTTACACTATTAGGTGTACGTATATAATTATCGTTAAGAATGACTAAAAAGAACTTAAAACGTTCGAAAATATTATTATACAGATTTATTAAATAAATTGTAAGGATTAATAAATATTATTTTATGCTAAACAATATAAAATAATTTACATAAAACAATTTCAAAAACGCTGGAATTAAAATCTTTTGAAATTTTTGGAAAACAAAATTAACAAAATCTCGATTTTCTTACCATCAGATTTCCTTTTAAAAGTAAATGTGATAACATCCTGCAGCGCAACGTCAATATAAACAGGTTTATTGAGTTAGAGAAACTGAATAAAAAAATGCTGTATACATAATTATACGTAATTAACATGAATAATTTGTTATTTAAAAATGTACCTACATATATGAAAGACTAATACATATATTATGAATTAGACTTTCATATAAGGTAAATGGCCAAGAACAAAGTAAAATAAATATGATGCAAATATTAAATTTGATTTAATATTATAACAATTAAATAAACGAGCACAGACATGTTTCGAACTCACAGATTTTTTTTCAACAATGCTTAGAGTATAACTTAATTTAATAACAAAAAATTAACTTACTTAACTTTGATGTCGTATAATTTATTTAGTTTTAGGTGAGAAAATGTTAAGTTCCGATGATATTTAGATCGACATATAATTGTTAAAAAATAAGTAAAACTAAAAAAGAATTTATGTTATGTCAAAATGATAAAAAATTTAAATCCATGAAAAAAATGCTAACGAAGATTGTTTCGTATTTTTTTTTTTTTGTTCTCTAATATCATGTCTGTGATAAGTCGTTTGTAAAAATTGGGTTTCTTGTTAATCAATGGAAAAATTTTTTTAAAAGGTTTGAAAAAATTCATGCCAATCAAGCACATTATAATCAATATTTTTTTCTGTTTTTTTTTTGTGAACTTATTACTTTCGAAATTGAAGAACATTTTAAAAAAATTAAGTATTTACACATTAAAATTGTACATAAAACCTAACTACAGTAACCAAACTCTCTATAGTTGACATTACGTAAACTATAGAATTTGGTTACTATAGTTACGTTTTAGAATGTAATCCAGACACAGTACTTTAAAGAATAACAATATTGAAAAAAAACATCAATCACACTTTACATTAAGTATCTCAGTGAAAAAAATAGAGATAAGAATGCTTTTAAAGAAGAAAAATAGAGCTTCAAACTAGCGTTTGAATTTTGTCTCTATGTTGTTTTGTTCCTATCCAAAGTTACATAGAATTTTACATAAAATTGAATTTTATTTAACTTAGATAATATCTTTTGAGATTATCACAGGTATTTTCTTCAGAGATACCAAAGGGTTATCGCCGTGTTGTAATCTATTGCTAATGTCAACGTTTCGTGAACCTTGCCAGTTGCCGTTCACTTCAATCAGGGCGAGGAGCGCATTGTGAGTACCAGTATGCTCCTCGCCTTGATGAAGTGAACGGCAGGATTCACGTTGGCATTAGCAATTTAAAATTATTTTTGTTCTTTTATTCTCGTCTTAAGCGATTTTTTCTCTGACTAACATTTTTTAAATGCATTTGCTACTTAATGTCGTGACACTTCAATATTCTGCCCACTTTATTATCAGAGGTCATTCTCCCACGGAACAAAGAGTATAGATAATGCATAACATGATAATACACAAGTCAAGGGTACATAAATTAATACATACTTAAATTAATTTATAGCATTTCCACACATGCAGGATTAATGTATGACGCTTCTATATGGATATAATATATCAAACGATTTTTGTTTTAAGTGAACAATGTGGGTAAGCAATACGAGTATCCCATGTATGTCGGAGAGGTACCCGAGAAGGAACTGTGGGACATTATCAATGTAAATGTGGGCGCCACTACGTTAATGACGCGGTTGGTTATCGGGCAGATGCAAAAACGCAGACAAGGCGCGATTGTCAACGTCTCCTCGGGATCCGAGTTCCAACCACTGCCGCTGATGACGGTATACGCCGCTACGAAGGCATATGTGAAGAGTTTCTCCGATGCTCTCAGGGCAGAATACTCCAGATTCGGCGTAACTGTTCAACACCTGTCGCCTCTTTTCGTTAATACCAAAATGAACGCATTTAGCTCTAGGCTTCAGGTAACAAAACTACGCATTATTAAAATAATATTACTTATAACGATTCCTTAAATTAAAACAGAATTTCTATACTCTAAAAGCTTGTTTTTAAGAAATCAATTTGTTGTACACCAATTTTTATATTTTAGTTTGCATTTGTATTTTATAAGAAAAGAATGATTATTTTTAACAAAGAATATATTTTTTTGTGATAAGAAATCTTAAAATGTAATTATTACAAATTTTATTAAAACTTATTATTATTACTTAAAACAAGAATTTATTTTTTTAAAGAATATATATACATATGTGTGTTCTACGTAATTATTTTATTTTAATTGTCTAATAAAATTATTTTTAAATTTATATCTATATAACTAAAGTTTTAAATAATATATCAGTAAAATTATACTTTTCGTGTATTATTTTAAGCTTGGAATAATATATTATTTTTGTATACGCATAATATACGTTTATTGAAAATTTTAATGTATACTTTTGTTACAAAGCGCGGATGGCTATTAGAAATTAGCGGTGTATGCGATAAATTTCTATACATTATAAAAAAAATTATAGTTATATGTATATCTAATATTTAATCAAGAATAAGATTATACGTTTCGGCTAATTTTTTAACCATTTTCAGTATATACGATGAGTTAATGCATAATTAGATCCATTCGACAAAAAAATTGCATGTTTGACATTCATACGTATCTATACTCATTAATATTAAATACATAGCTATAATTTGATGATATATAGAAATTTTTATCGCGCATCTTGTACAGCGCTAATTCTCAATACTTCAATAGTCATATTGCTTTATAACTAGATTATATTTTATTTATTTCGTGAATTATATTGATATCATTTTATTGTTTTAACATATACGTTTTATTAAAAATTGCAGGTTTCAAGTATATTTATACCTGACGCTACAACTTATGCAAGAAATGCTATTGCCACTCTGGGCAAAATGGATAGTAGTACTGGTTACTGGGCCCATAGTATTCAAAAGTTCATCACTCTAATGTCACCTGTATGGATTAGAACGAAAATCGGACAAATTATGAATGAGAGTTTCAGGCAAGAGTATTTCAAGCAACAAAAAGAAAAGACTTTACAATAAGATATTTTAAATAAACAATTTTTTTTTTAAGTATTACATGTATATTGTGCTGACGTAGAAACTAATTTTTAGTAACTTTACTTATTACAAGTAATGTAGTATTATAGATAAAAAGAAAATACTGCAGAGAAAAAGAGACAAAGAGAGAAAAAGAATGTACGTAATGTATGAATGCGAGAAAGAAAGAAATATAAACCTTTTTTATTATACTTGAATTTTTATTTGACAAAACTTTAACTTTCACATTTCTTCTACAACTAATTTTCTCTATTCTAGATTAAGACCCTCTGTATCTCCTTCTAATATTTTCCTTTTCTCAAATACTCTTATTATAATAATGCGATTATGTAAGCGTCGTAAGTAACTTTGATTAATTTGAAATAAATTAGTTTGTATATACACGTTTTTATATACATGCTTACATACATGCAATGTTATGAAATCATGCAACGGTAAAATTAGCAATTGCATGCTATTTATCCATATCTGTACAATCAGTAATTTAGTATATCTAATTAATTCTAAGCAGATACATTAAAGCCAAAACCGAATACTGAACGATGGAATAAAATTTTTGTGTTTATGTACTTCATTGGAGTAATATATGCAAATCGCTCATTGTTGCTAATGCTGCTATATATAATATAACATTGACATTGGCACTGATTGATTTATATGTTCATTACTTAATTAATACTTGTAAGCATAAAAGTGATTTTGTATCCTCAGTCATAGATCCTGCCTTCAAAAGAAAAAAAAAATAGTTACATAATCTTTCATTACTCTTCACTGAACCAAGTAATTGGAGAATCTGATTGATGAAAGGTTTCGATATGTTGATAATAATATTATACTACCTGGGTTGAGAAAATTGCTTTACAAGTTACTTTCTTAACCCTGACTAGTACATAGTACATATAATACTCGAACCAATCAGCTAATAATACATGAATGTTGACCTGCACACTGATTGACTTGCGTTTACTACTCGATTGAATAAATAAATGTAAGGGAAAGAAAGTGGGTGAATTGCAGGACACCCAAGGGAAAAGTTAAAACTGCCAATTATTTATCAATTAATAAGTCTTTATTCCAAAAATATTCCTACAAAAGTTATTTATCTTTAAACTATAATAATTGACGTTCGCATACATCAATATAAACTATATAATTTTAAATAAAAAACAAAATTCTTACTGTCCGAAATTATTCGTCGCCACGCGAGATAATGCTAAATTAGTTTTGTTTTTTGTTTAAAAAATTATTTTTTTATACAAAGAATAAATAGGCTAATGAGAGTAAACTCGCTGTTATTAATGCGAAATCACAAAAAACAATATATATTCGTTAACAATCAAAAAATGTCATATGATTGTTAACGAATATATATTGTTTTTTGTGATTTCGCATTAATAACAGCGAGTTTACTCTCATTAGCCTATTTATTCTTTGTATTTGAAATTTTCGAGAGTCGATTTTTATATTTAATTATTTTTTTATGTTTATGTTAACAGTGTACATGTTAATTGCTGTAGTTTAAAATCAATATCATTTGATTAAAGACATCCATAATTGATAAACAATCGCCGGCTCTATTCAACTTTTTTTAAATATTCATAATTATCCCATTTTTTCTTACGTCAAAATCATCAAAAACATAATGGTATTTGTTTTAAACAACGTGTGAGTTCTATTATATAGGTATGGCACTAAGTATACACTGGATTATCACACCAAATATGAAAAATGAGAAGTTATCATTACTCTAATATAATAGGTATATTTTTTTAAAAATGTGCAGAATGCAAATGTTCAAAAAAATTTTGTTGAATATTTGATCAGATCGATTTATGATACTATATAATTAGATTCCTTACCCGCAATCGCTAACTTTATTACTAACACTGATGATTTAATCATCAAAATACAATACTTTGAATTGATAATGAGGAGAAACCGAATTAAATTTAAAGTTATTGCATTTTCGATATTACCACTCGTTGCGCAAGACCATGCAAGATCATCAAAGTCCGCGCGTAGGCACTGTGCATATCAGCGCGTTCCGAAACTCATAAAAAAAAAGCATTCGAATATATCTACCGTTGATAATATATGTATATATCATAGTATCTATATATGGTACATATACATACATAAAGTGTCGATGTTTTCACGATCATACGTGTATCATGCATCCAGCAGGCAAAAAATGATTTATCACGAAATAAGCATTCTATACCCGGAATTTTAACCCGGATTTAACCCAGATCGCCTCTAGCATTTCCAAGTAAAGTTATGCACAGGAACAGTCAGAGCCGTATTAACCCATTTTACGCTTATATGCAGGACTGATATATATTTTCTGCGCTCCTTTAAATTTATCCTAGCTTATAATATCACGATGGATAAATATATTTTTTTAGGAATTATATTAGATTAATTTAAATATTGATTTCCTCAAAAATTTGAAGAAATCATTTATTTATTTAAAATACAAACAGTAAAAAGCATACAACAAATACAAACAAATTGATAAAATAATAAGTATATTTTTGATAATAAAAATATACTTTATTACAAAAATAATAAAAACAGAAAGCAATTAATTTAATTTTTCTTCAGTATAAATTGCATTTTACTATAAATCATCTTAATTATCTATAATCTAGTGACTATATGAACAACTACTACTACTATATATTGTTAACTGTTGAGTTTATCTTAGAAAATATCTGTCACGCATGGATGGCATAGAGGGACATGAGAACATGTACTTAAGTGAGATTAAAATAAGTATTTTTTCTGTTTCAATTACACAAATTTTCTGCTTTAAAAACAAATTCTCTATCGTAAAAACAAAATTTATACAGAAAATAATTTGTATTTTTAAAGCAAAGAATGTGTGTGTGGTTGCGTTCAGCAGAAAAAGCAGCTTTGCAACTGTTGTGAAATTTTTCCTAATTTCCCAAAATTTGTTGCCCTGGGTTACTTTAAAACCCTCTCAGTATATGCCTTAATACGATACTGGAAATAACCAAGAACTGAACCAACACGCGGACGATGAGTAGTTCATGGTAGCGTGGGGGAAACTCACGTGACCCGATCGAAACCCGAATCCTAACGGAAACTGACGGCACGCTTGCTCAATGCTCACATCACATTCCCCAATATTCCCCATCCATGAGGCTCGTAAAGAAGACGTTTGGATTATCTCTACGTTCCAGAATACGAGTAAGATGATGCTGTAGTTTAACAAAGACTTGCACACGCAAGTGTGCCGACGCCCCGAAGTAATCATGCGGTAAGTAATACAATATCGTTTTTGTCTCTCTCGTTGAGATATTTCGCGTACGGTTCGGATCTCGTGTGCGTTCTACGAGGCTCGTTAGCCATCTTGTGAGTCATAGTCGTCCGTGTCAAATATCACGATGGAAAGATGGTCATGCTTTTCTATATCACGCTAATCGTTTAACAACATATCATTGTTCAATCGCGCATTACGTTAATTATGTAACGTAATATTCGCGATCTGTGCACATTGCCCAATCTTGCTGAAAGATGTTGCCAGATAATAATCTTGTATTGCGTCATGATACTTCATACATGATGTGTAGTAGTTCAGTTGGTTGATTCCTCAGCGTAATCTGCATATAGAAAAAAATAGCTTCCGCTGAGATAAGCGAGAAATAATCATCCGAGATTTCCTATTTGAAACTTATATTTTCATCACTGACCATCATCCGAGTGTAAATTCAATTTTCAAATTGTGAAAAAATATATTCTTTAATTTAAAATATAAATATAGAATTTTAATTGAATATATAAAAACAAAATTTACATTCTATTCAGTATTCAATTTATAAGCGATTAATCTCTGCCACTTGGGCATATAATGTATCTATATGTATAGGTCTGTTTGTAATTGAATAATATAAATTGATTGTATACATGGTGTCAGAAATTAACATGAAGTTGTGAGAGAGAAAGAATGAGATGGTATGAAAAGATATTAGGACATTTTGTGATGCCATATAAATAAAATAGATATAATTTAAAGTGTGACAAAAGAAAGTTCTTTAAGTTCGAATGAGTTCTACATTTTCCCTAATTTGATTTTTTCTAAAACAAACTGCAAAAGATTTTTTGTCTTTTCATTGTTATTATTATTTTTAGTATACTAAAAAATAATTTTACAAAAGAAATATGTGTGAACATGCATGGATATATTTCATATATAATTATATATTGTATGTTTATGAATATTTATGCATATTTGTTCATACATATTTATACATATATGTATTCATGCATGAAAAATCTTTTATTGAGAAATTAAATAATTATAGTTAATTTTTTCTAATTTATAATAATATATTTTTAAACTGCAATATAATTTTACCTGATTGCAATTTTAAGCAAATTTAATAAATTAATAAAAGCACATATTTGTGTCTCATAATTTGTAAAATGACTTTTTATTTCTTCTCTCTCATTTTATGATAAATGGTTTACACAAAAGTATACACTAGTTTAGTCACAGAAAACAGATCTCAACACCTGTTTTTTTTATTATTTGGTTTACTTATGATTAAGATTATATTAATAAGAACAACTTGTGGTTAAGCTTAATCTAATGTTTCACTTCATTGGGCATCCATGAGATCGTCACAGATAAAGCTCATTAGATAAATATCAGGTTAAGTCTAATCACAAGTTAACCAGATAATGAAAAATCAGGACTCGTTGTTAGTATTGTCCTGTACAGAGACAAAGAACAATCGAAAAATCAATTTTATCTTTGAAAAAAGAATGGAATGGGAAATTAAATTGATTAATTTAATCATTTATATATTGCAACAAAAATAACAGAAAATCATGTAAAATGCATTATTATAAATTTAAGTAATTTTTGTAAAAATCAGTTATTTTGATATAAAAATGAAGAGAATATACAGGACTCTTAATATTTAAATGACAAAAATAGGCAAAGGCAAATAAGAGTCAAATACAAAATTCTAGACAGCAAATTCATAACATAATACCTTTAATTACAGAGTCAAAAAAAAATATATAAAATATTATCTACTAATTTCTAAAACGCTCGTATGAATATATTAAATTCGAAATTAAAAAATAAAACTAGAAAAACAAGACGTTTCGGCTCCATATTTGGGCCCTCCTCAAAAAAATTAATAAACGCAGTAAAATTAACAAAATTAAAACGATAGTGGAGTTGTAGACGGTCATGTTCAAAGAAAGTTGAGTATTTTCTCAGAGGGAACATAAGAGCTCGTCAAGCGATTGGATGATCATTTGCGAAACATCCTTATGTTTCTAGTAAGAATACAAAATTACGTTTTTAAATATTATATTAAGACAAGCAATAGTTTCTCTAGACATAGAATTTTGTATTTGACTCTTCTTTGCCTTTGCCTATTTTTGTTATTTTGATATACATAGTTCTAGCGTTGAAAATATTTACTTAACCTTTAAATAGGTGGCCACAACACTCCATTCATAGTTATCTTAAAAACCTTATTCCAGAGAAAAAAAAATAAAAAGAATTGCTTATGAGTTTTAAAATTATTTTTAGATTTCTCTATTTTATAAGAATATAAATAATGTAAATGTAACTCTATATTGTAAGAAATAAACAACACGAGAAAAACGTGCTCTAGGATTTAACTGAAATCTGGTCATATTCCTAGACGTTCGTCTGCATCACTGAGTCACACAGCTCTGACGCTGATAGCATCTTTGTTGTGCCGATTTTCTCTAAATTCTGTACAATACTATTGAAAAGTATAACTGTAGAAAATAAGTTTGTTTGGCGTGTTCTGAGTACTATATTTAAGGTCTGTTTTTTATTCCTACACTAGACTGCACTAAAACTCTCTTTCTCATATTTTCGTTAAATATTAAACATAAATAAACGAGAGAAACGTTTGTTTATTCTTTTTTTATTCTTACTATTTGTTTGTTTCTTTGATTTGTCATTAACATGAAAATTGTTGTTTTATTTTTCAGTGCCAATATGGCGTTCATTATTAGCTACGTTGCTAAGCCCAAAATTTCTTTTCATCATTCTTCAATATCCTTTGATTGGATTCGCATCGAGAATGTCATTCAGTCCGGACCAGGAGATGTTGCTATGGAAGTACGAGCCGGTGTCCCGCAGTGGGACACCGTCCTTAGAAATTGATGATGATTGGCCTTTATTCGAAGATCAGTCTGTAGAAGCTTCTAACAATGCTGTGGAAGCTGTTATGTATGAAGACCATCCCTCCCGTGCACAAGTAGCAAAACAGCTTTTAGAAAAATTAGACGAATGGATTAAAGAAGGTAAATATGTTGTCTTTGTTTCTTGTTGTCTATTTAATAGCGAATTCGATTGAACACACTTACAAAAGAACCTTGTGAAGTATCAAATTCTGATTTTTAGGTAACATTTTATACATATAATTCACATAAATAGACGAATTTAGAAAATTTTATTTGGTATGGACAGTTTTTAGATTTTTTCATGATATCTCATAAATTATTTGAAATATCAAAAAAAAATGTTTTATATGTATCAGCGTGCATTAGTGCGTTCAATCGAATTTATTTAATTTACTATAAAATATATATAAATATATAATTATTTAAATTGTGATAACACGGTTTATATCAGTGATAAATATTCATTTTGCAACGAGCGACCAAAATATTCAATGTTATATTCAATGATATTAGAATTTTACATGAAATAAATAAACGTTTTTTACATGAAGTAAATAAACATATACATATACATATCATATATAATTTTCAGTATCTGTCTACGAATATACATATGTAAAATTTTGTTATTTTAAAATATGCTTAACATACAAAAACATAATTTTAAAAATCTTTTATGAATATAGTCTTATCTATGTAAGCTCTTATCTAAGAACAAGAAAAGTCAAGTCAGAATTACAAATCAGAATGTAAAGTAGAAGCAATAATTGTACATATGAAGATAAGCAGGAAATTAAATGTTATAAATATTAGTTTTTTCTTAATGATATTAAAAATATGAATGTTGTAATATACGGTAATAAAATACAAGAATACATTATAAATTTAGAATTGTAACTTCTAATCTTGGGTCGTTCTGATTTTTGATCGACATGATTTTATAATTAAGATATATATTATATCATTGAATAATTAAAAACATTGATATTAAACTCAGTTATTTTCGTTGAATTTTTCATTAGTGAATTAAGTTTTGATAATATTTTAATAACTCATTGTCATCAAACCTGGAGTTTATTTTTATTGAATAAAATAAATTACTATTTCAAGAGGTATAGATGTATTTTTATGTAAATAATGTTAATTTAATATTAAATATTTCCGTAATTAAAAATTGTATTAAATTTTTATTGTAAAAAAACTTGCTGGAATTTAATCTCCAATTTAATTACAGAGAAAATTTATTATTGAATTTAACTTATCAAGAATACGATATTCAGCTAAAGATATCCATCCTGGTTTGTTGTCAAATCTCTGGAAGATTCCGTTTAAACACGTTGCTTAATATTTTGAAGTAGCATTATTAATGAACCAGATTTATATTTCTGGCAACTTTTTTTGGCTTTTGTTATCACAAACATTGATACGGATATTATATTTCGTGAAAAGTATAACCCACTAAACGAAAGTCCATTAATAGGAGTATTATAATTAAAAGGAAGTTCGTGAGAAATTTATTCTGTAATTTTTTAAAAATCTATGACATTTGTCATAACATTTAATCATTTAAATGTTATGATATAATTAATTGCATGATTACTAACGATTAGTTTTATGATCATGTTCTAAATGGAGCTTATCTGCATAATCTTTAACATAATCATAGCGCGTTATACTTGCTCTAGGGAAAAAAAGTTTATGTCCGGAGTTAATTCACAGAGATCCTGCTTATTCATACAATTACAAATCATACAATTTTCACACATTATCGTATCTGGATGGTAAAAAATCTCAATAGTCGTATCGCCCGCATTTTAAATGACATTGTTATAAATAAGCGATTCAATAGAGAACCACCGCGTAGCACAGCGTCACGAACCTCGAGACCCCTCTAGGGATACCAGTGTTCTCGATATTCCAGAGAAGCGAGATACAAAAAAAAAACTGCTTTATGCTTTCGAGTGATATTTCGCAATATCCGCGTGCGCAAATATAATCGAGCGGCGAGCCATGGTAAAGGACACGAGACGCGCGTGAATGCGCATTAACTTAAGAATCGCCTACTTTTCGCATTTTTCCATACTGCGCAAAAAAAAAAAAAAGTGAAAACTGGTATTTTCGTTCGATTTCGTATCCCCCTATCGCTTTCATTCTTTTCCACTGGCACCGTTCTGGTACCGTCTACTCTTTTTCTCTTTTCCGCGCTCTTCGTCGCTCTCACGCGCTCCTCTCCTTTTTTTTCTTGTAAAAGAGAGTGGGACAAACTGGTTAACCTCTACGCGAATGGCTTTGGTTTTATAGACGATGATAGGGGGGTGATGGCGGTGTCAGTGGCGAGATTGAGAGGAGGGAGTAGGGGCGACAGAGGGGAAAGTCCAAAGATAAGCAGGAGCGGTTTCTCGCCAGTATACAGGCCACCGAAGTCCAATTTGCACGATCGCCATTCGACGAATCGTCGCGCTGTATCAGTGCTTAATTAACCGTCTACGGAGTCCGTAACATCTTGGATCTCTTTATCAGTGTCTTACGCACATCATTTTCTGATATCGTGACTGCCGCTTATCGATCTCGACGAAAACATCTTTTCCCCGCTCACGCGTGAAATCTCTTATCAGTTTTCCCGCGCGAATCGCCGGAAAATTCCACGGAGAACAGAACACAGGTTTTCGTAATACGCTCTTCGTAATACGTATCTCGTAACATCGCCAAGGAAGTGAACGACCCGCACGAGTGATACGAACGAACTGTGAAATCGCCGGACGTGACACCGGACGCTCGTTAACGCAAACACGTGGCTGCATAAAATACCACCTTGCGTCGTATTTTGGAAACAGTAAGACCATTGAAATCTCAGAGCATTGACAGAGTACAGGAGTAACAAGATATACCAAGCGAATTCGCCGAACACATCGAGCATCGTCGTCCGGGAGAAGCGCGGAACGAATTACAGCGAAACATCTGTGAAAATATCTAAAATCCGGCGACGATATTCAGCCCGTCCTACTGATTCGACGGAGATTTACAGCAGCGACACATTTGTTTGTTGATGCATGGGCACAACCGCACGCGGGTGCCCTGAAAAGAACGGTGGCTTGGCGCCGGTAATCCTACGAGACTGGCATCATTAAAGTTGATCCGTGAAAACGATTCGTCGTCTCGATGGTGGAGTGTGCTAATGTTATATAATAGCATGCAGTTCGCATATCGGTACACGTGGAACCGAGAGATCATCGTCAACTCCCAGAAACTTGTGAAAAGACGCTGAATATCGGCCGATCTGTCGTGATTACACGTGGGAGGATCGCACGTTCTTCTACGTCTTCGTACGAGCTGCGGCACGCTACGTCGGCGCTACTGAAGGAACGATCGTATTGGAACCACCGGCCCTTCCCAACCAGCTACACCAGATATACACTCCCACCTGATCTCTCTCCTCCCGTATCTTTAACAAGGGAAACACCAAACCACACACAATTACCATGGCTGCCTTATGTTACAGTGGTAGGTTTCCTTTTCCCCTCCCCCTTTATTCTGTTTGTCCCCACTTGTCGAATGCTCCGAATTGCTTCAAGTCGAGGCATAATACAGAATTTATTATCTAGGCGAGGTAGGGAATAGAAATATGTTATCTGGTCACATTGTACATGTAGACATATTGGTACTGTATTAGTTTTATCATTACTGTTATATACAACTATTGTATGGTACATTCCGTTCTTTAATTCGCAGTGGAATGTAAAAAGTAGTATAAATTGTTCAGTAATTAAAATATATAAATTCCAAAACATACATTTTTTGTTGTATTAAAACAACGTTTAAATGTTCTTTGTGTTGTGGAATTTAAAAATGTAGTGGGAAAATACTCGAAATATAAAATAAATACTGACTTGTTATTGATCTATAGATATATATTTTTTATTTTATAAATAAACACGAGAAGTGTCCGTAGAAACTCTGTAATTTTAAGGCTCGGTACTCGCTTTTTAAAAGATGTTTTCTAGATTCTTTAATTTGTCTTTAAAATATATTTAGTATTGTTCTTTATTGCTTAAGAGGAATGTTGAGAAAAATGAAACAATTTATGCCGACTTGTATCACTAATGCTCATTTCTACCAATATAGTGTACATTAATTTTAATCGTGATTCAACTTACTCTTCATCTCTCTTTTCTAATTCTTAAAATTAGAAAAGATTGAAGAGTTAATTGAACCGAGATTGAAATAAAGCCTAAGATATAATTGAAAAGCACAAGCAATAAAAAATAACAGATTTTCTTATTACTTTTGCTTTTCTATTAGAAACCATGCATATCACAATAAACGTTTTTTACAGATTTTTTTTCTATTCCTATTGCCTGTGCTTTTTAATTATGACTCAGGCTTTAAATTACTATTGGTGGAAATAGGCATAAATGCAAAGCCTACATGCATTACACACATACTAGGCATGCTTATTTCTATCTTTCCAAAGTTCTCAAATATAATTATGATTTCACAGGATTGTAGTTTTCTTTTGAATATGTAGACTATTTCTTGTTCTCCAAAAAGATTGATTGAAATTGTGCACTTTTTTAATAATGAGCAATTCATTTGTATACGGATAAAATATTTTGCCCCTGCGTTAGATGAATTTTATACTCGAAGTATTTACTTTTGTTCTACTATTAAGAAAGTTCGAAAACTTTATAAAGAACCGAAATATATATATTTTTTAATTGTTTCTTCAAGGTATTTGCTTGTATTTTACAATACATGTTAACAGTTTGATCAACTCATGACATGTCTGTTTTTTTTTTTCAATAAACAGACATTTAAGATGTTTTTATGGGCTGTATATTTTATGTTCGTGAAATATATTTTGAATATATTTATCTTTATCTCTAATACTCTTTAGAAAAAGTGTTGCATTGGAAGTAAAGTTCTTCAAAACTCTTGAGTAGTTCTTAATTTTTTTTCTCTACAATTATGAGTAGAAAAAAAAATCAAAAGTTTACATAATAAATTTATATTAAACTTATATATAACGAATTTTTCTAAAAATTTGAACAAATCATTTTTTCCGAGGTTTAAGTAGACACTTTAATGTTATTCGTTTCCGAGAGAGAAACATTTAACGCACGTGTGACTTTTCGTGTCACTGCAAACGAAACTTCAAATTTGCAGCTCAAATTTTCAACAGTTTAGAAAGAAAAAATGATACGTTAAATCGCACATGTACATAATGTAATGTAAACATTAAGTACACAAATTTTAGAAAGATTTTTGCCAATATGTTTGATAAGGAAGCACCTTTAAACATTGCTGAAATTCAAATTTACATCAACCTCACTTGTTTACATTCTTCTAACACATTATCAAGTCAATTATCTTGTTCGTTACATTTTCATAAAAGTATAATAGAGATCATAAAGTAGATGCATGTTCTGTGTAAAAAAAATTAATTCATATCTTTAAGATATTACATTCGATGTCGATCCATTCTTAAGAAACAAAAGTTATGGTAATGAACTCGAGATATATGAGAACTTTTAAGAAGATGGATATGCAAGTGCAGTTAAAACATTATCTTATTTAAAAATACGATACGTATACGTACAGTAGCATTTTTAAATTTGATGACATTTTAACTGCACTCGCCACGTATCTCTATTTTCCTGAAAGTTCTTTGTGCACTTCTAACACTTAACGTCATCCGAGTACAGAAATTGTCTTATCTAACCTCCTGCCCTCTTGTATTTAAATGAAGATAACATCCAATAGCTACTGATCAAAGTTTCATAAAATAGGTCACGGCTGTCGTAGAGTGCGAAAATTATTCACTTCTTATGTACTGTAGGTCCTTGATTGGCTATGTCCTTGAAAAGGCGAAACCTTCAAGAAAGATAAGAGTATTTTGAAGCGCTTGTCCAAGTTCTATAAGGCTAACCATTGCACGTGCAGTCACTAGTAATGATCTTTAAAAAATGTATTTTTTTCAAAAACATTGCTTTGCATGCGAAATAAAAAAAAATGGTCGCTGTAGTCAAGCGATTGATCTCATTATAAATGAGATTGCAAATGAGGAACTTGTTTTCCTACTTAATGTCCATGAAATTATATTAATGCGCCACACCTATTTATTGTTCGCGCACGTTGCAAGTACTTGTTAACTATCAGCTTGAAATTTTTTATCGAATTTATATATAAGAAGAGTATTGTCGGGTAACATGTTACTTTTCAGGACACACTTACATATTAGTCTCTTTCCTGAGCACTATAAGCGTTTCTTACACTAAAGAATGAGGAAGAAAATTCGATATTCGATACCACTGATAAAACATGAAAGATGGATAACGTAATTTCCAGAACATAATAGGTAGTAAACAGTTTTAACGTTATAGGAAATACGAGGATCGATCATTCATAGACATCGCAGAATATTTGCCGGCCATACGATATTTCCAGAGACATATTATTGCGTCTCGCGTTATCCAATAACAATGCACACATACTAGGAAATATAATATCACCAGTGTGTGATTCATTTGCAAACGAATAAATGCATCACGAGTGTGGCGCGCGAACTGATATGCAATGTCAATTAGAAATAAGATAGGCGCGTTTTGTCGATTTACGGCGCCATCGGCCGCGCGTATCGCTATCTAGAGAATTTTGCATGCGGACTACAGAATTCCTTAGTAAGTTTGAATAATGTCCACCAATTTCAGCGCATGTATTTAATTCAATAAAATTTATAAATATTATTACTATAATAAATGTATAAGCATTACTGTAATAAGGAAAATCTAAAAAGTGGAAGAAATCTGTAAAATATAGGAAAATCTTTCTAATAGTACAATGCAAGTTCTTAGTAATGAACTTGATGTATATGATTAAAGTTTTTGAGTTAATCAAAAATTATTCAAATTCTTACTTAAGGAATTCTAACGAATTAATCTACTGTACACTAGTGTGTCCGATAAATACACATAATATTCGAATAAATGAATAAAAATGAATGTAAATATCTATTCGAATACACTTCTTTTTTATTCATCAAGAAACGAATAAATACTTTTTCATTATATTTGATTGAATATTTTTTAAATATGATTACGAATATTTTTGTGTTTTCATATTTACTTTTACTCTGTATTGTTTGTATAGCTTGCAAGCCTGCAAAAGAAAACAGAAATCTATAAAAAAAATGAAAGCAACAGAGTGATCCTCTATTAGTGATGCCAGCTGGCAGATTAATGACATAACACGGTATATAACTAAATAAATTGAAGATAAAAGTAATACGTTATCTCAAATAAAAACTATATATTATCTCAAAACTTCATTTGAGAATTATGTAAAATATGTCATATCACTTAGATACTTATAAATAAAAAATGTATTGCTCTCAAAAGTATTTTTTTAAATTTCTAAGTTTTTCTCTCATCAAATCTGAATATTACAATGACAAAAATAAATAAAATTCATTTATTCTTACTTAAAATTATCGAAGTTTTGGTTATAGTTAAGGGTTAATAATTACACATCGGAGCTTTCTTTATCAGTTTATATTTTGCTTGAATATTATGAATAAATATGAGTACTGGTTAAACAATCATAGTTTTTTATGAATAAATATTTTTAAAAACTCAAAATTTTGAATAAATATATGATTACATTTTTTTAACGTAAACATTTTGAATAAATACAATTTATAGCCCAGTTACAAATTTATGTATTCATCGGGCACACTACTGTACACAAATGAAAAGTACAAGCAATAGGAACAAAGAATAAACAGATTTCAATCTATATCAGAACCGTGTATTCTGGTATATACGATTTTCTGATAGGTTGAAATTTATTATTCTTAGTTGCTTTCCAATTGCTTGTGTTTCGGGCTTTATTCCGCAGAGAGCCATGTTAAAGCCAAAGTGCGCAAACAACTGTCATTCTAATCAAGATCGTCTGTTTGATTTCAGAACCCTTCTCAGATTGGTTGGAGGAAAAGATAGACCTGCCCATATTTGAACAAATATCTCTTTCTGAAAATCAAAATAAATCACCGCTGTCGCCAGTTTACACCTCCGTTGTCTATCCGATTGTAACAAAGACATTGCCGCAACAGCAGCAGCAAGAACAACAACATGATAACACACAAACTCTCTTGCAGGAATTCGAAACTGTTTTAGGTGACGTTGAAGCTTGTCATCAGATCGTTCCGCCAACCAGTTCAACGCTTACTCCTCCACAATCACCCCCGCATAAATCGGTCAATGTGGACACACAGCTGCTAGTCACTCTGCAGCCTATGCAATCGTTTACCAACAATCAACCGATATATAACATAATTCCAACAGAGCAATCACTATACGTGAGCAATATATCGCGTCAGTGGAATACTGACAACATAGACTCGCTAAGTCCGCTTGGCGGGGATGTTGCGAACGAGTTAGCAGTGGTGGACGAATACGTTCGCTCGCACACCAAGGATATACCGTCTCCCATAAGCCCATGCAGCTCCAATAGCAGTTCGACCGATGATTCCATTGACGATCCTGATTGGAGTCTCGAAACCGAGAAGAGAACTAGCCTGAAGCAAACAGTTCACGATTCTTCGAAACATCGCCATAAGCCGTATTCTCGATCGTCTCTTGAGGACAAGAAGGTGCGGAAAAAAGAACAAAATAAGAACGCTGCCACGCGTTATAGACAAAAGAAGAAACAAGAGATCAAGGAGATACAAGGAGAAGAACGTGAATTGATGGAGCACAACGAGGAGTTAAAAGAAAAGATGAAGAACTTGCAACAGGAGATAAAATATCTGAAGGGATTTATGAGGGATGTGTTTAAAGCCAAGGGTGTTCTTGAATAATCGCATTCGTTCAAAATCCTTACCGCCGTACGACATAATCTTCTAATAGTTTTATTTTTTATTTAGGTATAAGGAAGATTGCAGCAACAAAAGTTTAAACTCTCAAAAGTATTTTTAGATATAATTTTTTTCTTATTTTCTTTATATAAATAAAAAATTAAATATTGCAAGATATCACTATATGAGGAGGTCAGAAAGAGTTCCTCCTGGCTGTATTTATGACTTCGCGGCGAGACGTTTACTTACTAATATGGATTCGAGGTCTAGAATCTAGTCTTAACACCAGTGAAACATCAGACATTTTTCTCATCCTCTTTTTTACAGTTTATTTAAAGGCATGTAACAATCATATAATATCAATTATATTTAATCTAAGTACTAGATTATCCTAAATAATCGATGATCTATGATGCTCCGTGATTCATGCTGCCTCGATCTTCCTTATATTTGTTAATTTTATTTTTAGATAATTATTTTTCTGTCACTAACTGTGTTTTATAATTGTACTAATATTTATAATAGTATTCACTATTGTTTCATGTTATCAATTTGTGTGATTTTCTTAACAAGTATTTTACATGTATACGTAATAACTTATCCGCAGCGTTTTGCAGAAAATCTACAGATATATCTTTTAGAATAAAGTGTACATCCTAAGAACGGAATTCCATCAACGTTGGGAGACGCGGTGCGTTAGATAATGTGTGTGGAAATTGTCGAGAGTGCTACTATTTTGAAGTTCTAATCAGCAGAAATAAGAAAAAAGTTCTAATCAGCTCGCTCATGCACATTCCACCACTTATCTATCGCACCTCTCAGATGCGAATCTTTTCATTCCGATTAATTTTTATTCTTTATTGCATAGCTATACTTTCATACGGCAAGTTATGTAGCAAACAAAATAAATGGGTTCAATTAAACAAGTTGTACAAATGTTATTTTCTCATTAGTGATCTATGCTTACAGGTCGATCTTTTTTTAATCCGAACAAAACTCTGGAAAATTCTATTCTATTAACATTCTCTATGCTATTGACGATATGTTTATTTAATGTGAAAACATTGATGTTTCCGACATGTAATATTGATCCTTTATCATTCTTTAATAAAGAAATTTTTTATCAAAATGCAAAAAGTTATGTAGTGCAATAACCAAGTATGTGTTTCTTGATATAATACAAAAACAAGAGTTTCTTATTAGACGAATCTTGGCTCATGAATAAATATTCATAGATTAAATTTTTGACGAAGTTAAATCTACTTGAAAAATGTACCAATATTCTTATTAAAAAATCTAAGAATTAGAATTTTTTTCAAATTTTAGTCCCAAAAATAATGCATCAAGTTTTTTAAACGATTGTTTGCATTATTATACTATTTAACCTTTAGACTGCCGGCGTGGCCACTTTAGTGGCCACCTATCTTCCTGTTATCATTCTTGACCGAAATAACTTTATTTATAGACGAATTTAAAAAAAAAAAAATTTTTATTTCTATGAAAATTTGCCGGCAGTCTAAAGACTAATAAAACAGGCTTAATTATATGTATACAACTCTAGAAGTGGAGGAGTATCAGCTGATGTCCTCCATTCCTCCCCTCAAAATCGCTTTTTTCACTTTAAGTCTTAAATCACTTTGAAATTTAAAAAAGAATCGATTTTTTTTTGTTTAAATACTTGTTATATATGTAAAAATATATAACTCTATTAGTTGAAATGAAAAATTCGAAGTATCTTATACAAAGTTACAAGCTGATTCTTTGAAGTGCATATCCACATAAAAAATTTTAAATTCGTTTTTTTCAAAATATTTAAATCGAGGTATATCGTAACTTTTACAATTTTTAATCGATTTACTTGAAATTTGCAAAAAACCTTTAATTATCTAAAGAAGTACGTAATGATTTTTTGATTAAGTTAAAAACTGTTATATTAACATTTTTATACGATTTATTATGATTGGTTTATACATTTATATCCAACATGAGTAACAATCAGAACAAGACCAATCACAACAAAGAATTTTACAACATTTATAAAACTGCTTTCTCTACTAAGCTAAACGTAGCCAATTTTGTTATATCCCAATTGTTCACTGAAAACCAAGCTATTTCAATTAATTGCAGTGCTGTCATTTTCTAAGAAAAAAAAAGTTGTATACTTCAATACATGTATATATAATGAATACCTCTTTATAGATTTTTAATTTACCGAATCCTTTTTACAGAAAAATGTCTAAAAAGTAGCTTTTTAAAGAGTAGAAAGCAGTGTAAGGCCTTAAATCGATGTTTCTTTTTATTTCCTTGTTATTTATCATTTATAAATTTCTTATAGCATTTTCTCATACTTTTTAGCTTTCTCTCTGGCCCTCCAAACATACTTATCTAATTTGAATAGAAGAAGCGCGGCTAAAGAAAAGATCTTGTCAACGGGTTTACTTACAATTAGATTTATACATTTTCATCTTTTTCTATTAGATTTAGCACATAATATACCTAATTATGTACTAACATTTTCGCCCCTCTTCTGAAGCACCCAAGAAGATTTTCTCGTGAGCCTTTCTTGACGGGCGGCCCTGTACAAATAATGTCATAGTGGGGAAAAGTAAAAACGGTAAGAGTTCGGTAGCTTCTCTCCCTCCTTGACTCCGCAGATTCGAGAGGTCTGTTAAATTAACGGGACAGTTTCACGTTCATAACATTACGGTATACTGGCATTTACCATCGATACAAAAATACAATTCGTAAGGAGATAAAAAACTGGGACTAAGCACGGTTGAATTTTTTTTAGGTCAAAACGTAACGGCTGCTGAGCAAACAGGAGCTATCGTCCTTTTTATCAGTTAAAATCTCGCACGCTAGGCGCGAGTTGTAGAAATAATTTATACTGCATTTCTCGGTTTTGACGTCATCGATATCGATTGGTCGACCTTGAGCAATTTCTTTCTCCATTTTGTACGAGATGCTGTACGTATATACATATCTCATTAATATTTAACGAATGTTGTTTTTTTTCTTTCTTACAATCACATCCGCGCCTACTAAGGCGATTTTTTGGAAGTTCCTCTGGCCGCCAGCTACTGTAATGTCTCCAATCCAATATTAATATAATAGAAAAACAAAAGAAACGTTCGGACAAAAACAATAAAGGAGTTGAAAGAGATAAACACAGAGAGTGCACAGTGTTTACTTCTAGTTCATTGAATTTTTATTATTTTTTTTTTTAACACGAGTGCACACACACTCAAATGCATAATTGTATACACACGTACACGAACGAGTGTATTTTCGTATTTACATGCGATATTAATAATACAACAAATGTGAGATATTTTAACAATTTTTCTGACGTAAAATAATAAAAGTCATCTACACAGAAACTTATACGTAACGCAATCATTCTCTGAATTCTCTGTACCGTATTTGCGAGAAATGCAAATTTTGTTGTCCAAACTTAACGTTTACTCATATTTTGTCACTTAAGCATTCACATTTTACTATATATACAAAATACCACATATATTTATTATTACGTAATCACATATATGTATATATATATATATTTTTTCTGTCGTTTCCTTGATATTTGTATCGATTATTTTTTGCGTTGAGAATCTGTTTGTGTTTTTTCTTGAAGATAACATATAACTATTGTCCAAAATTGATTATATATATTTGTGACCTCCAATAATCTAAATTTCAGTTATAATAGATAATTATTATAAATGTAATTAACACGTTTCGATGCGAATTTACTTCGTCGCGGATTTCGAGCTCCCGGAAGTAATTTCAGGAGAGTCTCGCAATCACATGGCACAAATTGAGTTATAAATTCTTAATGTCAAACGTTAACTGCACAGCTCACGCATCGATCGATAATGATAACGTGTTAAATACATATTAACAACATTCTCTCGATTTCAATGATAAAATGCATAATCACATGAGATAGATCCTCTTGTATGTAATAGCTATTTTTACTCACTATGCTCTTTTATAGTTCTAAATTAATGTACATGTAATATACATCCGATTAAATCACCAAACATAAAAGCACCCACAAATTAAAATAACAAAAATAGAATATTGTGCAAACTAATATTTCACATGATCATTCGTTTCACTATACAAATGTAGATTTGAGCCTTACACGGTAATTCGATGCGGGCACACATATAGATATACACACACTGTAATATTTTAAGGTGTAAATTATAATTTAGTTATGTTACATAAAGTAAAAATCAAGAAGAATCAAATGATTGATCGGTGTTTTGTTACCACCGTTTTACAAGGGCAATAAAAAAAATAAGCTCTCATTCTGATAAATAATAGCAAATACACAATAATATTATAATTTACAACACAAATATTTTCACAACGTTCGGTTATAGCATGCTTTGCACGGCAGTATAAAAATCTAACAAATCCGAAATATACGTAAATAAATTTCTGGAATGTTCATGTATTTGTTATGAGTATTTATAAACTATTAGATTTGCTTAAATCACATAATTAATGACAAGTCATCACAAAAAATAATCTTTTTTTTTTATAAAAGTAATCATCATATAAAACTTATTAAGTGACTATATAAAAAACTATAAAAATAAATGTATATCAGAAGAACAAATTTATAACTATACAAAGTGCATCTCTTATTCTGTCCAAACAATATCTAAATAAAACATAAATATAAGTATTATTAATCACACAATATGCTCTGTCTCTGCTCTCTTAACTGAGATATACATTCTTGCCCTTTTGTATTATGTACCTTCTAGTAAGGCGGACAAAAATAAAACATAAACTTAACAAAAAATGCAATGTATATCTATATAAGTTGCCAATTATATTGTCTCCCATGTATGGAAGCCTAGGAAGAGTGCTTATATTTTAGTTCAAAAAAACAATTAAGCAAGAATCTATTAAAAAGTTTGGAAGGTCCTATATTGTCGTGTCGCCTTCCTCTTGTTCGAGTCTGGAAGAGCCGCAAACACGGCATTTACAGCATACGATGCAAGGTGCCGCTAATAATAGTAAGGGCGATGCGACAAGTAGAAGTAGGCCAAAACCAGCGAAGATCCCGATCACTTGCGTTCGATGCCATATCACGGATGCACGTGAGTGGCCCAATTTATTCTTACATGGTCCCTTGTCGTAGTGTCGCAACAGAAAGTCATCCTACGCATCAATAATTTAAAAATCAATTTGCGTCTTATGCCAAGCATTCTCATGTATAAAGTAACAACGATTTAAAGGTTTGGAACGTTATAACCGCATACTTTCTTTACCGCTTTGAATACTCACGTCTAAGGATGCTAAGCAGTACCAGCAAAACACATGTTTACATCTTTTGCACATCATTTGAGCACAACCTTCGTCTTTTTCTATCGGCACAGAACACATAGGACAACATTTAATGTGATCGCTACCAAATGGTATTCCTAACGGAAGATCTGAACAAGGTCCGCTGTGCCAAGGCTCGCGACATATTGAACAGAAATCTGTGGAGCAGTTGGGACAGTGAACAGGACCTAAAGGAGTGCCGCTTCCACTGTTGCCATTTATCGAACATATTGTTTCACAACCCGCTCGTGGACACCATGCACGTCCTTTATCCATCGACACATCTGCATATAAAATTATATTATGAAAGTGTTTAGAATGATGTCGATCATCTTGTGTGAACGATTACACTTTTACATTTAACTGAATAGAGACAGAATCCACATTACCTACCTCTATTTAAACGAAACTTGCAATGCTTCTCCACAAGGTCAGTATTGACAAGACTTGATATCTCCTTCAAAGATAATATAGCGCCATGATCACACTGAGCATCAGGACAACTAATCTCGTACGCGCCTTCCTCAATCTCAAATTCTACATAGGCACGCATGCACTAAAAGTCATCAGAAAACAAAATAAGTATCTCTTTAATACACATCCTTCCTAAATAAACAATGATCCAAAAAAACTTAAGACTTACATCTTTACAATAGGAACAACCACATCCCTCGATTTTAAATGTTTTGGAGAGAGAAGTGTCAACAAGACACAATTTACAAAATATCCGTCCAATTGTCTGCTGTGAGCCTGCAGGAACAAAATTGCCAGCCACTAGGCTATAACGCGAGCTGGACGCCAAGGACAACAGGCTGGAGCAGCGAGAGCACACTCTGCTGCGATTTATGGGTCTTCCCTCAAGTGCAGAGGTACTCAGTCCTACAGCGGTCTCGCATTTCCTCAGCGCGCCAGGAGCCAGATTTATCCAACTGCTTCCACGTGCCTCCAGACTCGCGCTGCTCTCAGGACGCAGGAGAGGCGCGTCTGCTTCTCTACCTGGCGCAGTTCTCTCAGTCAAAGAGAGATTCACCACGCTGGCCTCCTTACGTATCAGAGGTAATCTGATACCACTGAGCTTGCTCTTCTCGATCTTCTTCTGGCTGGTCGCTAACTTAGTGGGAGGAGTGACAGACGTGACCGAACTGGTCGCGGTACCCATGTCCATCAGTGGTGCTCGTCGTAAGACGAGCGAGTGTAGGCTAGGCATCCCCTGGATGTCACTACTAGTTACAGACGACGAGGAGGCCTGCGTTCGCTGATCCCCGCCCGGGGGACTGCTTCCTTCCGCGCCCGTCGTCGTCGTTCGCTCGCCGCTGATAGTAAGGGAACGCATGAACCCGGATAATCATATGTACATGACGGACTCGCACGGTTTACCGTGGTGTAGCTGCGCGAATGTCGATCGACTCTCACGCTGCTCGTCGTCATAATCTCCGCCGTTCGAGCGTCACCTCCTGCACAGACTCTACGTGCAGCGCGTCAGACTTTTGAAACAGCACCGTCGTTGAACCATCTCATTTCTGAGTGTCGTAACAGCTTTTCGCACCTGCACTGTTTGATGTTACATTTAGTACTCCGAGATTCGGTGTCGGTTCGCGCTGCGGGGTTCACTAACGACGTATACGCGGAACACCTACAACAGCTGATCGTCCTCAGCGCCTCAAGATAGGAGACAGATAGGAAAAAAAGAGAAAGAGAGAGAGAGAGAGAGAGAAAGAGAGAGATAGCGCGCGCTTGCGAGGTAGTCGTCAGCGTAAAGGCGAGTAAAATCGGAGTAAATGCGCTCTGCCTGGCAATAAACGTACCGAGCAACGTGATAACCGTGATCCGTGCGTCCGAAACGCAACGACGCGATGATGGTCGCGCTACCGCACTCGTCGTAACCGCAGCGCTTCTTTCCTCCGCCAACGGTCGTTGCTAATGATCCGTCACCGTCGCCGTCGCCGTCGCTTTCACTGTGTGTCCACGGTATACGAAACGCGTCCCACTCCGTCGTGGTCCGCAGTCGCCTGTGTTAGCGCGCCCACGGTCTTCGTCACATTCTCACGCATTCTCACCAATTCTCACCTTCACCGTCGCGTACACTACCGTGCAGGGTGCACCGTGTGTGCACCACTGCACACCAATGTGCATGCGCTGTGCATGACGGCACGCACACCCGCATGCCAGGCCCGCATGCGCGCGAGCGCGGGCGCGCGTTCATAAATTATCCGAGCCGCGATATAGTTATAACCAGATAGTATACTCTTCCGCTCCCGCTTCCTCATTCGTTTTCCCTTCTCGCCGCGATCGGTCATGATTAAGGATGTAATGAGCCACCCTCGCGATTAGTGCAACCGTTTTTCTTTTAACATTGTTACAACGTTACCCCCGCAGCTACTCGCTGCTATATATAGCTAGTCGAGTTACCCGCCACATTCTTTTATTTTAAGAGACTTAATTGTAATAAGAGAATAACTAAAACTAATTTAATTCTATATTTATAAAATTATATTGTAATAAGAATTATCAATGTAAAAATTACATTGTTATTTACTTGTATTACCGATTCAATAGGACTTACACACATATGATTTGTGTTTTTGACATATCATTACGCACTACAGCAATATATCGCATGCACGAATAGATGTATAAAATTTCTATAATTATATAACTATTCTTTCATATTAAAAGTATCTAAATAACCTAATTCAAGATACTTAACATTTGTGTTCATGTAATCTCTGCTCCAAGCTAATTAATTTTATTCACGATTGACACTTAAGCCTGTTACACAATAGAGTCGCAATACGTAAGCTGTAAGAAATTGGCCAATCACAATTAAATATGACAAAAATAATCGACTACGGTTAGTTAATTTCTTATTGCTTACACCTTGAGACCTTATTAGAGAACAGGCTTAAGGGAACGTTTATACTGGCCATAATTGTATGCTATCATTAGTAAAAATTGACCAATCACATCCAAATATTCTCCTCTCATTTGACTGTAAGAAGAGAATATTCGTCGACTGTGATTAGTCAATTCTTAAAGCTCACACCTTGATGGAAAAGCGAAAGAGCAGCTAATCAAAACTCGCGCTAGTAGTCGACTTTCTGTTAGTTTGTACTACCAGCGCGAGTTCTGATTGGCTACTACTCTTCCGCTTTTCCGACAAGGTGTGAATCTACCCTTACGCCTAATTCTACGCAACTATAAAAGCGTAGTTATTAAATGATTGTACATACATAAGAATGACCAATAAAGTAAAATGTGAGAAAAATATTCAAATGTGATTGATCAATTCTTATAACACCGACAAGATACTATTAGCGATTTTGGCTCAACCGGGTTTGCATCAAGTTGGGTTGGAAAATGCTTTGCTATTAGTTGACATTACATATTCTACCAATAGGAAAGCACAAAACATCATTAATTCAACCCAGGTTAGTGCAAATCCGATCGGACCGAAAATGTCATATTAAAAGACGTTCGGAGCTTATGAAAGTCGCGTAATAATTAAAATTTAAGTGAATAAGAATAATAAACTAATATTACGGTACTAGTTTCATAATTTATTAGTTTCGTAGATATATGTTTAAAACTTAAGGCGAAGCTGGACCCGCCTGTATTATCGACGAAAACGTCAAAAACAAGCGTTTTTGACGTTTTCGTTTCTGTCTAATTTCTTCGTAATAGTTTCACAGAATAAAAATTCCTTCTCCACGATTAAAATATCCGAGCTAATATACCTGTGCCTGGTGTATATTGTATCCAAAGCTGGAAAAAGTATGAAATTACAGATTTTTTTAATATTTTTTTTATAGTATAAAAAAATGATGAATTTAATAATGTATTATTGAAATAGTTATATATTAATGATCGCAAATTTTTTTTATTAATTGTCGATAATGTCATCGTTCTTCAATTATCCCCGCGTCCCCCGGGCCCCATTGAAAATCACGAAAATCTGCCCAGGGCCGAGCATCGCTTTAATAATATCTCGTCGGTGCTATTAACAGATTACACTATACACGATTATGGCCAATACTAACGCTCCCTTACAGAGAATACGATTTTTAATATTTTTTAATTGTTGTAGATAATAAAGTTCATAAAACTTCAATTCTTCGGTTTGTTTCTGTATCAATCTAATAATATTTGAAAATGTTATGAATCAGGTGTAACTTACAAAGAGACAGAAGAGACTGTGGCCCTGGATCATCTAAAAGGTCGTTGGAATTCTTGAAATTTAATTTAATTATATTGTCCAATACCTTGATATTCTGTAAGTCGTTTTCAGTAAATCTCTGTATCGAAAGATATGTAATTAATGCAAAAGTATTAAAAACGCCTGTTTTAGCAACTTTAATTGTGAGATTTTCTCAAAAACTTAACATGATATGCATATTTATACGGTCAACGTTAAAATTTTATCAGAAATAACTTGATAAAACTTAAGGCAAAAAAGATTTGGTACTTTGTCGATTATCATTTAAAATATAATTATTTGATTAATTATTTCATATTTAAAAGAAATATACATAGAAATACATTTTATAGGTGTTGAATCTTGGGAGTAGTCGCCGCGGCCATATTGGAATCAAGACGTTAGAAGTGAAATAATACGTTAATGCTTCGTAGCATTTTCCAATAAAGACAATTTGGATAAACTTAAGACGCAAGATCACTTCAAAACACTTGTAAAAATAGACGGAAGCTAACCTTTCCTCCCATGACAGTGAGTAAATGGTCGTAAAAGGTACGTAAAGTGAATCTCTATACAGGCAGGGGAAACACGTAGTTTAATAGAGCTATTGAAACAAGTGAAAAATACGCTTTTACTTATATAATAAAAAATAAAGAATGTAAGTTCAATAGTTTATAATTATTCTTACATAATTTCTCACATCTTCATTTAGAATAATATTCTGTTTAATTCTTTGTGATTCAAATACTACTTTACATCATAGGTGATCTCCGTTTTGCTAAGAAATAAAATATTTCAGCATCATAAACTTACTGATAAAATTCTAAAAATAATGCACATAATTATATTGTTTCTATTTCGCGAGACGGTTGCTTGTTAATATCGACTTGACATCTCTGTTCAAGTCCCGGCATCGGTGGAGCGCCCGATATTTTTTCTCGGCCTAGCTCTTATATTTATAAAATATGCAGATAGAAATGTGTTTAACGTAAATATATGCTTAGATTGAAAGAACGATCATATGGATAATAATATATGACGAATAGAAAATAATATCAGAACTATCGTAAGTTTAATTAATTGAAAACTTGATTGTTTATACTGTATATGAATACAAAAGGGATGATTAATTTAACGATATATCTTATCATACGAGTAAATGAAGTTTATTAATTTAAGTTGAATCAGTATTTTATCGCAAATACACTTATGTTTACGCATAAATGACGATGTGTGATATGTATGCATATGTATGCATACATGTTCATATTTACATACGAGCGACTGAAATAATGCATTTATCGCTCATAAGAGATTTTGCTACAAAGTACGTTAGTCCTATAAATACATCCGAATTTGGTTGTACAAAAATTTGAGCAAATTAGATGATCAGATCCAAAATAATAAATAATAATCATGTGCTAGAAAATATTTTTGGAAACCAGATTGAGAAACACTCCACACAAATTAAATAATAATTTAATTAATGTCTGTTTAAAAAAAAAAAAGCATGGCAAACGTATAAGTTTTCCTATCTTGCATTATTATAATAATAGCTTTAAAACCCGAAGATGTACCATGTCACTTAACTGTTCGCAGTGAGTGTCGAGTGAAAAACGACAATAGCAACATAATTTTCGTACAAATTAATGGAGAATGCTTTGGTCATTACATGGTATTACACACATAAAAATAATAATTCAATAATAGAACTCTTAATATAAAATTGATAATTGTGTAATACAAGGACTGATAAGAGTCAAATTAGTAAAAAATTAAAAATTCAAAGAAACGATGAGAAACTTGATATAATTTTACTTTGACATCTGACTAAAAAGCTAGCTACGCATAAATTACATAATTTAATAAATTTAGTGTAATTTAATGTAATTTATGCGTAGCTAGCTTTTTAGTCAGACGTCAAAGTAAAATTATCAAGTTTCACATCGTTTTTTTGAATTTTTAATAAATTATTTTTACTCTTATCAGACCTTGTATTACACAATTGCATGTATAACTTTTCTTTATTACAAATAGGTCTATTTTAATTAGAATCTATTTTTAATTAAAATCTATAATTTTAATAGATCTATTTTAATAAGAAACATTGGAATTGGATGAATTAATAATGTTATTAAAATGTTAACGATGAATAATACATAAATAATAAACATATATACATATGTTTCATCTAACAATATTATAAATAATACATTATCCAATGATGAAATAATATTAGATCGAGCAATAATTAAAGATATTTAAAACATTCTCCATTTTATTCTATAATTGTTATGTCTATTGGTCGCTATCTTCATTATTACTATCTTTTGTTTAGCATTCAGTAATACTCAGTGCAAACAATCAAGCATTGTTGCGTTAGAGAACCTTCAATTGAGTTCAAATAATAATGCATTTCCTCTAAAACCAGTCTTCACAAATAACATTTTAATTAAAACATGTTTTAATTATATGAAGATTTTTGACTAGAATTTTCTATATTATGCACTGTGACAGGTTGTTGTCATGAGCAATAAAAACTAGAAAGAAAAAACATTCAAATAATTTCATTAATTTATCGTAAAAATATTAATAAATTATTGTACAATTGTTGTAAAATCAATACTATGCCCCAAAAGAATGTATGAAAATTCACCTGTTAAAAGAAATGAATAAAAAAGAAACAAGATATTCCAAATTGGGGATTATATATACAAATTATGTATGTGCGATTGGAAGCATTTATGAGTGCAATATGAGAATAGTTGTTACATTTGGATTCCATAATCCGAAATATAAACATTAGCTAAATCATCAAATCAAATTCATACTGTGATATTATGAGATATTATCTACAAACTATTTTTATCACAATTTTATGCATTGAACACAGAAGTACAAAAATAAAGGAGAAACAGAAAGAATTAGGATATTTAAAAACTTGATGTTGCTCCTCTACAAAGAGATATTGCCAGGTATACTATACTGTCCTTTTCTAGAATGTGTATCGACCGCTCTGACGGCAAAATAATAATTATTACCCTCGGAAAACTGTAACAAGAGAATATTGTTCTGATAGTGTTGTAAATGTTAATTAAGAAATTTGCAAGACATTCGTTCTATCTTGTTGATAAATTTGTTGCTCTAATTTACCTGAGTCAAAGTACATGCCATGGGCAGTGGCAGTGCACGCACATCCCCAACTTTCTTCCATAATGACGTATTAGGATTCACACCAGCGACTTCCTGATACGCATACAATTGATAACTGGCGATATCCGCATATTTATCCGATAGACTCATGTTCCATGATAGAACTATCCCTATGATGCGAAATTGAGATGTAATAAAAATTAATATTATTAAAAATTTTGCAGTGTAAAAGTTAAATTTGAATTCGGAAGTTTTTTTTATCAAAGAGTTTGTGGATTATTGTTGCATTGTAATCCATTGCTAATACCAGTATTCCCTTCCCTTCAATAGAGTTTATATAAAAAGAGTCCTCCGAAGGAGCAGTTCAATATTAGTATATTTTTCGATTTGATGAAGTGAATGGCAATGTCCAAGAAATAATGGTACTAACAATGGATCATGATACGGATCATAATACGCAAACTCTTTGATATTTCTAAAGAAAATACTCGTGAAAGTCTCATAAGTAATGAATTTGTATTAATATTTGTGCAAAACAGAAACATTCATAATTTACCATTTGACACTTTTGAAATCTTTAACGATGGTGCAGGCGGTGGAAGTTTCCAGCCAGGCGTCGGTGCGTAATTTGGAATGTCTGGCAGGGGTGCAGGATGCTGAAATAAAACAGTCCTAAAATAATAATCACTGAACAATTATTGTAATAGTATATTACTTTGATATTCACCTTATTTATCTGTACATTTGGCAGAACTGGCGTGGTTACTAAGCGAACAGTACCATTCGTAATCGTTGATATACCTATCAACAAGACAATGAAGTAAATAACATAATGTAAAATATTGCAACAAAACATCACTGTCATTTTTTGTAACCATTTTCCATTGCAATTCCTTCTAAAATATAACTTTATAATGTTAGAACAAAATTTTAGTAAAATACGTTTCTTTTAAAATAATTTAATTACCCTTGTAAGTAACAGTTGAAAACGATGGTCTATTAGGTGTGTTCACTGGACGTATCTAAAAGATATTTAAATTTTTTACTTATATAAAAACATTACAATAACATTCTCATTCTTAGCAAAAATGATGAAGAGATTGTTGCTACCAACCTGTACTTGTTGATTAGGGTTCGACGCTATCAATACCTGTCTTGGTGTACCCGTGCCACTTTGCATTACATACGCCAGTCTGGGTGGATTTACATTATTCTAAAAAAAGTAAATAATATAACTATATATACATATGTGTGTGTGTGTGTGTGTGTGTGTGTATATATATTA